GGTTGAACAAAAAACAAAAAATTTGATTACAATTGCGAAACTGGTGGGAAAATGCCTGTTTCTCTCATTTTGTTATTTTGACGAGCGCCTGATTTCCACACGATGCCTCACATTGATTAAATTCAAGGATGTTCCACAACATTTCAAAACAGCAAAAGATGCATTTCCCAAGAAGAGTAAATTTAGACCCACCTTAACTTCTACATTTTAAATATTCTTACAACTGACAGCTTTCGGTCATACATTCAAACAAAAAAGAACTTTAAAAACTTGAGACAAATGAAATTATTACATTTCTTTTATTTACATGTTAAATTCACAAATTTTTTTAGCTGTTTACGTAAACAATTATGTTCTCTCTTCTCTTGACTATACCTTCTGAGCACAGAAGGAAGCTTTTTTTTTTTTTTTTGCGACAAGGCCAGTGCAACTACCTGGACGCTGATTCCTAAATATGGTATGTGTTTTTTTGATACACTAAGAAATGTGTGGGGCACACATGGTTCAATCCGAAAATGCTTGCTAGCGCAGAGATAAAGGTCCTCTGCAAGACAAAACTTTCAGTTTGAATTTTAACTAAAAGAATGTCATACACCCCAAATTAAAAAAAAAAAAAAAATTACACATGGACAATTACAAACACCCAACATAATCATATTCAAAGAAAATCCCAAGAAACAAAACATTAAGCTTGTCAAAACAGTAGCCTTACTTAAACGATTAAACAATAAAACTTAAATGAAAACATTCCATTCTCCCACATCCCAATCGCATACCTTGCATGAATATTTGTGTTTGTACAAGATGTGATGCATATATATTATGTACGTGAACAAAAGCCAGAACATCTGGGAGAAACAGATAAAAGAGAGAGCTTAAACTACTTAAAGCCTGACAAAAGACAAGTAGACACCAACAAGGCCATTCCCATTTCTCAATTTCCAGGTCATGTATGTTGTATGTACGTACTAGTATCATGTATGTATGTACATTGTTATATGTATTATAATTGTATGTACATGTAAAATACTATAAGTGGCAGTGGAAGAGTAACAAGTTGCAGAACATTTGACTGAGGAGATTGAGATGACGGAATGGCACTTGGCGAAGAAAAAGATGAGTGGTGTATGCTGCCTGAGTAGTGAATTGGGACACAATTCCATCTGGGGGGCCGGGGGGGTTAATTTTAAGATAATCATACTCTTGGAGACATTGGTCAGAGCTAAAGTGAAAACTGCAGTAAATTGACATGCTCCCACTTCACAACTGACCTTTAGCCCACTGGGACAATTCATGCACCAAAATATCCAGAGCTTTCATGACCAGTGTTGAATGAACAGCACAAGACAGAATGTCCAGATTTCAGATTTTTGCATGGGGGGGGGGGGAACCAGCCTGAAGTCAAGTTGCAATGAGAAACCTGCTGCACTGTGCTACGTACATGAAATATAAGCAGTTGGTTGACAAAAACTGAAGAGGAGCAGACGATATGTTCTTACAACTCCCAGTCCCTTAGAGATAGGGTGTTGCTGAAGGACCAAAGGTGTCAGTCACTCAAAATTGTTTTATTTCAGGCCTGAGGTGGGTTTACACAATAATAATATAGTGCATACAGAAAACTATTCACATATTCATTGCTTGACAGGGGATAAGACAGATAGAGAAAGACGGAGGTGAAATGTTTTGCACACATACATACATAAACTCAAGTATGGGTCAAGACAAAAGAACCACAAGAGATCTGAAAGGGGCTTATATCATTGCAACGCTTCTCAGCATTGGAATCGTCCACCCAAAACAAAACAGGAAGAATTAAAAGAGGTTGGATGTCATTCCCCAAATTGGGGTTATTCAGCAGGTTGACATCCCAATAACCAGCCACATGTGTCCATTAGTGCTGCAGTGACATGGAGGTAATGATAAGTTGGTGGGAAGGAGGAGAGCGATCTCGTCATTGATGAAACAGTTGCTTTGAATGGGAAGGATCATTATGAAATACAGTAGTCTATGCCTCAGTGCATGGTGTTCCCGGGGGCAGCTTACGTGTACTTTTTACCAGAGAGAGCGGTTTTTTTTCTTTTCTAGTAAAGATTTTACAGCGCTTGCAACTGCATAAGGTCATATGAGCGCCAGAAGATTAGACGTGTTACAAGAGAGTAACAAACATAAAAAAGAAGGAGGGGGAGATAATGACGATAGATGTTTGATAGGAAAGAAGGAGCAAACCACACCAGAGCACCCGCCAACCACTCCCTGAGAGTGTTTACATGAACCTGAGTAAAAAGGGAAAGCTATGCAACCATCATATTTTTGTTTAGTTTTAGTAAGTGTTTTACAGCACGTGCAACACAATATGGTCATATAAGTGCCGAAGATTAGAGTTTAGTTTTAGAAGAGGTTTTACAGCGCTTGAGACTGCATAAAGTCATATGAACGCCAGAAGATTAGAGGTGTTACAAGAGAGTAACAAACACAAAAAAGAAGGAGGGGAGATAAAGACAACAGATGTTTGATAGTATAGGAAAGAAGAAGCAAACCACACCAGAGCACCCGCCAACCATCACATTTAAATTGTTAGGCCAGTAGACCTATCTAGTGTTCTTTAGCATTTTTATGTGTGTTGTGCATCATAAACATGACAGTCAGAAAGCAATAAATAAGAAACCTCCCCTCAAAGACACATTTTGAGTGACCAATTAAAAGACATTTCAGTCACTCAAACATATCGCTTGCCCCACTGACAGTACGGCGTGAAAACGCTGTCCTTCACTTTCATCAGAAGGTAGAGGGAAAGAAATATAAGCAAGTTCAGTAGGTGAAAGAAATCCACAAAGATGCTTCCATTCAGACTCTTAGGCTACTGTAAAACACTGGAGTGTAAATCCCAACTCCAAGAGCCCACAGATTGATCTGCACAGTGCAGTGCTCGTATTTTGAAACTGACACAATAAAACATGACGGAATTGACACACAAAGTGCAAAAACAAATTATGCATATATTTTAATTTGCATTGATATCCTGCAATGTTCTGATTCATAGTAGTTATTCAATAATTTTAATAACAACAGAGTGCTCAATTATTCCGTTGTCAACTGTACAATCAAGACCTTCGTCTCTACTCTTGATGTTGTTGTTGTAGTTGTTGTGGCTGAATTGCAAGGCAGCATGAGAACATTCAACCCGAAGCAGCGGCACTACAGGACATAAAAAGTACAGGTACAGGAAACGAGAACAGAAGTAGCAAACCACATGAGCGTATCCGCCAGTCATGCACGTTCGACCTTACTTTTACAGTTCGAGCTTGGTATGCCCAAGTAAAAGCAAAAACAGTAGATAGTTTATACACAAACAGTTCGTCGCCTCAGAACTATATTGTCCAAAGTGTACTTTAAGTGTAGAGTGCACTTTGGACAAAACAGTTCCGAGGCAATGAGTTATAACGTGTTTCTACTACAACTCTAGAATATGAACAACATACGATTAACCCTATCCGTATGTCGTCTTTTACTATCGTATCCATATGATATGGGGAACTCTGTGCCACCACTTTCCAAAGAGGAAATTTACTCGTTAATCCGATCCGTACACTTTGCATGGCAGTCTGTCAAAATGATTTTTTGAGAAAAACTGAACGTTTCAAAGAGATCTTTGCATTAGAAGTATTTTAAAATGTGAAGAATACAACCCCGGGGGTACAAAATGACCCCAGGGCGTCCGGATAGGGTTAAGAAATTCCAAAACAATATAAGGATCAACTGAAGTGTATCAGAGGTGCACATGATCTTTGATGAGATTTGTCACCAAAAAAACCCAACTTATATGTACAGTTTAGAGTTTTGTCTCAACACTAGTACACTACAGACAATAATAGTTTAATAAAAATCCTTGCAAGTGAATTAAAAGTAAAATATATGTCATTCAAACTCATCTGGACTGCACCATTTGGTTTGCACCAGTCTTAACGAGAGCAAAGCATTTCATGGAGCAATATTAAAGTTGTTGTTGTTGTTGTTAGCGATCCAGTAGCATCTGAGCATTAACTCTTCTGCATGTTGCCATTCAGTAATAGTTGCATGTTTGTTCTAATTGTTTTCTTGAGGAGTAGAGGCAATTAGATGTGTGGGGTAGCTTGGGAAGAAAACATCCCCTTAAATCAGTTAGTTTTCTACAGAAGAACAGATGATGTTCCACTGTCTCTGAGGGGTAGTCACATAGTGGGCAGGCAGCAGACTGCTTTACTCCAATTCGGTTGAGATGTTAAAGCCAAACAAAACAGTTTTAATTTCATACTACAAATAACTGCCAGCTCTACGCTCTGTGTGGCAAAAGCAAAGCGAGTGATTATTCTTTTCTCTTCCCTAGACAACACACTCAAGTCTCTTGGTCACTACGTCATCTCCACAAAGGCTTGGCCAGTCTCCTGGTGACGTACAACCGCACATAGTGGCACAACCGTCATAATGTGAACCTTCTCTCATCTTCTAACTCAGTCTCTTCCCCCCCCCTCACAGCACATCACTATTGCTGCTGCGGCGATACACAGTGTCCCATCTACCTTTTCCTCTCTAGTTCTGCAGTCTTTCCTCCCAGCAGTAGCATAGCGTTCGTCAACCTCTTTCCGCCCATATCATCCCTTGTGGGTTGTTCAGAATTGACCACAGCGTCATCAACACTTAAGATAAAGTTGTACTTGGATTAAATACAAAAAACACACTATACCAGATTGAAAAAAAAAACCCCAAACAACCCAAATAAACCATAACTTAGATTCCAGTTCCAATGGGTCATAAATGTTGGAGTATGGCCCACTTTGTTGTACAGAGAAAAGCAATAGAAACAAAAACAACACTTAACAAACAGAGCGCCTAAACACAGAATAAACAGCAAAGTTAGTTTTAGTTTTAGTAGAAGTTTTACAGCGCTCGCAACTGCATAAGGTAATATGAGCACCAGAAGATCAGCGGTGTTACAAGAGAGTAACAAACATAAAAAACAAGAAGGGGAGAAAAGAACGATAGATGTTTGATAGGAAAGAAGAAGCAAACCATATCAGAGCACCCGCCATCCACCCACTAACGGCAAAGTCTGGGGCCACAACAGGCGGACAATCTAATTTGTCCTCTGAGCAATAAGAAACTAAGGACCCGTCACCACTGACTTCTAGGACAAACTTCATGTGTTTGTGTGTGTGTGCGTGTGTAGCCGGGTGTGAGCCGTTGACCAGGGGTGCTACCTAGATGCGAGATTTCTGGAACTTACTGGAATGTCAGGGAATGAAAAACACACTGACATGTTTTGTAGAAAGAAGGCCATACATCTGCAACAGAAAAAGACAAAACTTTAGACTTTTCTGCAGTTCCAGAAATTCATGGGGAAAGGCAACACCGCTGGTTTGTGATGAATCAATGCACAGATAGGGTGAGCCCATTTTTTTCAGTTGATCTGAACCTGGGCAGTCTGAAAGTACTGCTGAAGAAATCCCTGTGCCTCTTTGTCCATGCCTGAAGATATCAGTGGCTGAATCTGAAATGTAGAAAGAAAGAAATGACCCTTTTTGAAGTAACAAAACTATCTTAAAACAAAATCCCTTTTCACATCATGAACCGTCTTCATGAAGGATTTTCAATTTGAGGCAAATGTAAATTCCAAGCTCTTTAGTGAGCTAAAAACTAAAACAAAAAATCGGTGGAATTTCAAGATAAAAATAAGAACATAGCTGCTTTTTTAAACGACCAATCTTAATTCAAAGGTTGTTGTTGTTATCGATCCAGTAATTCAAAGGTTTACACACAAACGTCCAAGAAACATTGCTCTTTTTTCCATTAAATTTATTTTATTTTTATTCTCAATTATAGCCAATCAAGTAAATATTAACACAACTTTTATAGAAAAAGTACAGAGAAATAGAACTTTGTAACTATCACTAAGATCTTTCTATTCACTGGGTAATAAGTCAAAGGATGTGCTGACTTATTTTGGTTGATTGAGTAGGTGCTTTACAGCACTATCGACTCAGTTTTGGTCATGTAAGCGCCAACAAGTTTTAATATAAAAAATCTATCATCATGTTAAAAGGAAGGACTTGTGAAATGGACAATTTGTAGCCAATCCAAGAAAAACAAGTTCCCTTACCACACCAGGATAACCCGTTGACAACTTCTCCAAATGCTTGACTAAGTTGAGCTTGGGGTCTTCACCAAAACCCTTAAGGGGGTCATGCTCAGCTTTGCCAGCAAATGCCAGCTGAGAATAAGCCGCTTGATAGCCTGAAATTACAGAACATTTTTTTAAGCCCGCATTAAGATAATTTTTGGAGGAAGACAGCACTGCAACCCAGCAGAGGGATGGAGATACTCATCTGAAGAAACTGTCTTTACAATAGGAGTAGGTACCAGAAACTAAACTTTCAATGTAGCTGTATGCCAAATTTATCTGTTCTATATGAAAGGTCTATGTCTCCTGAGAATTTTAATACCATTCTTTAACCTCTCAGTCGATTTTACAGAAAATGGTAGCTGTTTTAAATAAGGTCAAATTTGTTTAAGTCGCTAACTGTAGGCAGAGTAAACAAGGCCTTCCGAGCGCATGGTTTTCCGTGAAATTGGGGTAATTCAGATCGCTGCTACTTGGCTCTTTCGCTATCAAACACCAAATGCTGTACACCTTGTAAAAGTTCAGCTTTTCCTTGTTACAATAGTGTGAGTTGTTCATATGTCCGATTATTACGAGCTGGAGAATCGACGTGGAAAGGGAAGCCCCTCGCGGTTGGAACGTGTGGTCGGCCGGTTCAAAAAGTGACATGCGCGCAATCAAATGCTTCGCGGAAAGATTCATGATTAAATACCGTCTTTTCATTGGCGGAGAACTGTTGAGCTTTGGACGGGCTTTCCCGCGATATATTTTTGGTTTAAATAGAAAGCCTTTAAAAATGCCGTCAAAGTTTTCAAAGATCATTTTTTACACAAAATATGTAAAATACCGGCTCAAAAAAGAAATCAATAGAAAGATCAGTTGACAGACAGGAAAAGAGTACCAAGTGCACCAAACATCTCCACATTAACAGAGTACAATCACAATAACATAAATATTGAGTCTAATTTTTTTCAAGACTGTGAGATCAGTGTAAATCAGTATTTTATTGCGCAAACACGATGACCTGTCGTCATTTCGACAAAAACACTCGAGCGTTGTCTCAGCTGGCGCCGCACTGGCCCCCGCGGCGAGCAAGTCGGCTCTCTATACTGTAGTGTACTGAGCGCTCCCTGCGTGGGGGGGGGGGGGTTGCTTTCCGAGCTTCGCGGAAGGATTGATGAAAAAAAATTCCAAGCTGATTACTTTATTCTAATAGAAAATGAACTGATCTTTCTAATGATTACTTTTTTGAGCCGGTATTTTATATTTCGTGTAAAAAAATGATCTTTCAAAACTTTGACTGTATTTTTAAAGGCTTTCTATTAAAACGCCAAAGGTCAAATATATACCCACGGGAAAGCCCTTTCAAAGCTCTACAGTACTTTGCCAATAAAAAGACGATACTTAATCACCAATCTTTCCGCGAAGCATTTGAATGCACGCGTGTCAATTTTTGAACCGGCCGACCGCAAGGGGCTTCATTTTCCACTGCGATTCTCCAGCTCCTAATAATCGGACATATAAACAACTTACACCATTGTAATGAGGAAAAGCTGAACTTTTACAAGGGGTACAGCATTTGGTGTTAGATAGCGAAAGAGCCAAGTAACAGCGATCCAAATTACCCCGATTTCACCAAAACCACGCACTCGGAAGGTAGCGAGTGCCCGTGAGGCCGTGTTTACGCTACCTAATAGGAGAATTCAACTCACATCTTTAGCGAATAAGGCTTAAAATCAATAACACTAAGTATCCCAGAAGCTGGAAACCGGCTAGAGTGAGTTTTCAATAAGAACAGTGAACATCTATTAATTGGTAGGCCTGAATAGGAGAAAGTATAATATGATTAACACAATGATGGTCCTTTTGTGTATGTGTGTGTGTGCGCGCGCGCGCTTGCAGGGGTGAGAGGGAGGATACAGCATCACAGCAGACAAAACAAGAAAGAAAAAAAAAAGACATTAGACAATCCACTCCCCCATTTTTTATTTCCAAATAAGACACTACAGAAATCTAACTACTGGTCAATTGGTCAACCTTTTACAATCCTACCTGGTGTGTCCTCGACCTCAATAAAGTGCTCATCGTCGGGGACAGACTCGTCTTCTGGCAGCTCAAACAGACCAATCAAGGCTTGGAGCAGACGGGGCCTGGTTGAAAGAGATAAATCTGGGTTGTTGGCAGTAGTTTTGGTGTGGAATGCTACTACCAAGTATCTACCATCCTTATATCTCCTCCTCCTCTTTTTTGTTTGCATGTTATTTTCTAGTAACATTTCTAATCTTCAGCAATTATACGACCTATTTGTGTTGCAAAAGCCATAAAACTTTAAACATTTACTAAAAATGAAAGACATTAATAACATAATTAATGAACAAAACAACTAATAGAAAACTAAGCATAACACCCCCTCCCCCCCAAATCCTATATGACCTGTGCACCTGTATTGTGATGACAGCCATCCGATTTACACTACTGCATACTGAAGAGTGCATTTCGAGCGCGGAAGAGAAAAGGAAATGCATGCCGAGGCATTCAGTCAGGTTTGTAGAAGTAAGCAAATGTCACACACACCAGGCTTAACCCTATCCGTACGTCATGTTTTACTATCGTATCCATGCGACCTGGGGAATTCTGTGCCACCACTTTCCAAAGAGGAAATTTACTCATTAATCCGATCAGTACACTTTGCATATTAGTCTGTCAAAATGATTTTTTGAGAAATACTGAAATTTTCAAAGAGATCTTCGTATTAGATAAAAAGTAGTCTTCCGCGGGTACAAAATGACCCCAGGGCGTACGGATAGGGTTAAGTGGAGTCAAGGCCACAGCCCCCCCCCCCCTTTTGACTTGTGGCTAATCACACAAATATTGATTAAATTAATTTCAAAGACAAATTCAGGCCCCACTATTCTCACTACCATTAAGGGAATCTGCTATTGAAATATGTGACTCCTAAAAACTCAAGGCTTCACATGGGCATGGCAAACATCTTCATCAGATGTATGACCACACAAGATTACATAAGAAGCCAAAATCTGACATTCAACGCATGAAGAGAAAGTTGTCAACGTTCAAAATCGACTTAAATATACAAACATAACTCCTTATCTTTGCCAAACCACTCCTAAGGGACTGCAGTCCAAACTGTGGTGGCGCTGGCAGCAGATCAGGTACATCCACTCACAACCACATCGATGGTACATAAGTTTCGGAACGAAAACCGGTATTTTTAACCAGGAGTTTGTTCATTACATGAAAACCATGGAAGTTAATTTATTTTGATTTACTGACCAATTCAGTGATGTGTATGTCATTTTAAGGTTTCGTACTGAGGGCTTCAGCATAGTGGGGGGAAAACCCCTGCTGGAAAAAAGAGTGAAAGTCTTTAAAGAGCAGAAAGACAAAAACAAAAAACTTAGCCTACCAGAGAGCAGCATAGTCCCCTTGTACCATAGCCGGGGCTTCCGTGAGAATATTAGCTACTCCGTACGCACAGATCCTTTTAGAGGTTTGGCCGGAGACTTTCTGAAGATCCTGCAGGTACAGACGCTCTACCACCATTCCAAACATTCTGAAAACCAAGGAAACAGCAAATACCATTCCGATGAAATCCCACTGCTTACTTTAAAAGCACAACTGTTCTAGAAAGAGGATGCCTATGGAAAAAAAATTTGGAAAATTCTTTACTTGAACAAAATGAATGCCCAGGCAAAAAGAAGTTTTGATACAAATACAAGAAGACATAATGAATCATGCACACTATGTCACTGTTAAGAATTAAATACCAGACACATTGTTCTACTTTATTCCTAATGAAATGAAGCTTTCTTTTTCGCTGAAGCTATGATTTCAAGAGCGAAGGCAGGAAGGATTACAAGACATAAATGAATGCCATTTGGCATTGCACATCTCCATCTCCAGGGAAGTTGATAAGCCATAAAAGAAATACAACTCATTTTTGGAATCTTGGAGCTAAAATATGTTATTAACATCATTTCCATCCAACTGGCAGGCTACTATCTGTTCAAAAGTTGTTCATGGGTGTGACTTCCTTTTCAATTTGCAAACATTTATCTGAGATTACTAGGACTACAACAACAAAAAACTGCCCATCATCTTACTTGGGCTGGATCCCGTCAACTGTTTCTATGAGAGAAGTTGCACTGAACTTGATGGCATAGAGGCTGAAGAACACCAGCAAGCCTGAAAGAAAAACAAAATATTTTTTTGAAAGTTGCTAGTGAGGGGGGGGGTGTCTTTATAACTGACTTATCCGATTTTCAACAACACTAACAGAACTATGGGAGAAACCTACATCCAGGAAAAAATTGGCCCTGGATTTCTTAAAATTGGACACACTGAATTATTCATGAACAGCTTCCATAACCCAGGTTCAGAACTTCTAGATTCAACAACAACAGCAAAAAGAAAACAATTTGAGCATTACCTCTCACAAGGGATAGAGTAATTGATTTAAAAGTAGTTCTACCGCAAGTGCTGACTTACAAGGTGAGAAAAAGCAAACTGTGCTTGGTTACTTGCTTTCTTGAAAAGCATTACATTCGACGTTACATTCACAAATAGTTTGTTGGAAGCACATTTCATGCTTTTGAAAACACTCCATGTCCATGAAACAAGAAAAAGCCATAAGTTGTCATAAACCAGGAATAGACAAGGGGAAAACTAACACTGAAAAGACATAGAAGGTGCAGACACCATATCAGAGCATCAATTAATCACTTGCATGAGGGCGCTGCGAACAAAATTCATCATATTGGCCCGAAGCTATGGTACTCACTCTTGATGTACTTGGTTGTTTTGGAGTTGCTCAGTCGTTGAAACAGTAGCACAAAAATCTGTTTCAGATACTGAGACACAATATTCCTGCAAGAAGAAAAAAAGTGAATATTTCAAAGTCTACCACCTTTTTTACTTTTTTTGGGGTTTTTTTTTGGAGTGAAGAGAAGCACATCCACACAATTATGGTCATTAAGTGCTGGGAAAAGAACCAACAGGCGGACACAACCGAAAAAAGAGCAGTAAAGACGGAGGACCTGTCAGGGACACCCTCCAACCACCCGCAGGCGACCACCACACATCTGCATCATGCATCAAGTATTTTATGGCACTTGCAATACAATAGGGTCAAAAAGTTCCGAAGATTAGAGGCGTTACAAAAGAGTTAAAAAATACAAAAATGAAAGAGAGATAAAGACTATAGATGGACGATAGGAAAGAAGGAGCAAACCATACAAGAGCATTTGCCATCCGCTACCGCAAGGGAAGCATAGAGACGCAACAAAAGGTTACTTAGTACAAGGGAATGATCAACACAGACATACAGGAACAACGGAGGGACAGAAAAAAAGTAGACATGCTTTTTATAACCAAGGCAACCACTGAAAATATCCCTGTCACAGGTACTGTTTTTTTCTGGTTATTGACATATATATTTGTTGTTCCATATTATCCTTCTTCGCCCAGAACAGAGATAGGCGGAGAAGAGCTCTACTTGGCCATCTACACTCAATACCAAAGTGAAAAAGGTGACTGACTACACTACAGTCAAACCTGTGTAAGACGGCCACCCATTGTCAAAGAAAAAAGTGGCCGTATAAGACAGGTGGCAGGACTAACCAAGATGAAGAAAACAAACCATTCCCATCTGAGGTCCCAATTGAAAGTAGCCGCATTGTTATTGTTTTTGTTGTTGTTGCTGGTTTGTATTTTGTTTGTAATTTTTATTTTGTTGCTGATTTTGCGCAAGGGTGACAATAAAACTAAAATGGTATGGGCATGTCACAAGATCCACAGGACTTGCCAAAACAATCCTGCAAGGAACCGTACAAGGAAAGAGAAAGAGAGGAAGGCAGAGAAGGAGATGGGAGGACAACATTACAGAGTGGACAGGAAAGACGATGGGTGACAATCTGAGGAGAGCAGAGGACAAAAATAGATGGCGAAAGCTGGTTTTCCAATGCAGTGGTGCCTCAACGGTTGCCCCAACCACGGGATAGAAGAAGAAGAAGACAATAAAACAAAATGTATCAGACGAGGAAGACCCAGTGTCTTGTTAGAACAAACACATGGGTCGCCACCACTCGGAGAACGAGCAACGCTTCTGTAGCAAGTTCATGTAGACGTCCTTTGTTACTTTGCTACAGACTGGGTACACAGTGACCACTCATCTCACTTATGATTTGTGTAGGAGTACTGGCCGGGGCTTACAGTTTATGAGGGATCACACGCTTGCCTCACCAGCAGCTGAAAATTTGTACCTATTGGTCAACAGTGGGAGGGGCCTACGCAACATGATCGGTTGGAGGGACTACCTAACAACAATGACAGGGTATTGAATTATGATGGCTCGCCCACCACGTCAGGGGCCAATGCACAATTTATGACAAAACGTAATGGAGGCACTAAGGTGGCCGTCAAAGACAGGTGTTATTGCTTAGTGTTATAGGGGTTGTGTGTTAAAATATTGTGGCCGCGGCCGCGTTGTACTGGTGCCCGTTTTACACAGTGAAATTATTTAGAAAAACGCAAGGAAGGAAATGGAAAGTGGCCGTTTGTACAGGTGGCCGTCTTATAGAGGTGGCCGTCAGGGCAGGTTTGACTGTATTTAAAATTTTTTTAAAAAATAGTAGAATGTTTTACGGCGCACGCAACTGCATAAGGTCATATGAGCGCCAAGGGGTGGGTGTCAACAGAGAAGTCTTTACAGGGAATCAGACTTAGACTGCTCACCTCTCTAGCTTCAACAGCACAAGGTCTGCTTCGACTATCAAGGCACCCCAAAATAGCAGGTCACAAGAGAGTGACAAACATACAAAAGAAGTAGAGGAAAATGACAATAGTAAGGATCAGGAAAGAAAAAGCAGCAGTTCCCTGTTGTAGATCAGGCAGTTATGAGCGTGACATGAGTCAGCCCATTTATAATTCTACTATGCTTGAACGAGAAATGTCCCCCCTTTGGGAATGGCCTAAAGACACTTCAGTCAGTGGCACTGCCCCGGGAGGTTGACTATACTATCCTCTAGAGCTTTTCCTAAAACCCAGCGGTTGACAGTCAGTTATTTTTGTTGCTTTTCCTCTCTTATGTACCAGTCATCTGCAAAAAGGGATGAACAGGGAACAACTTATTAATAGCTGAGCGACCAGCCATCCTGTGGTGGACGAATCGGTCAAGACCATGGCTGTCTGCAATGAGTTAATTGTATTGGACCATAGAGTCAAAGTCTGTACGCTAACTTGACGATGACAACAGTAACACCACCACAATGCATGATATGGTTTCAAGGTAAGAGAAACACTGCAGAACAAAATTATTTATGGGTCTGTTTTTGTTTGTTTTAGTAAGGTTTTAACTCGCTCGCAACTGCATATGGTCAGCCAGATGAGCGCCAAGAGGTGGATGTCAACAGAAGTCCAAACGGGGAATCAGGATTACTCTGCACTTCTCTAGCCTCAACAGCACTAAGTCTGCTTCGACTATCAAGGCTCCCCGGAAATGGCAGTTCACAAGAGAGTGACAAACATACAAAAGAAGTAGAGGTTAATGACAATAGTAAGGATGAGGAAAGATAAAGAAGCAGTTCCCCCTATACTGTTGTTTTGGCACAGTATGAGCTTGACATTGATAAATCAGCCCATTTACAATTCTACTGAATAAGAAATGAAGAGCTGTGGGAAAGGACAGGACAAAAGGATATAGAAGTAGAAATAGTTCTAAGAAAGTGGCAATGGATGGGACATACCTTAAGAAAGCCCAGCGGAAACATCACCAGACAGTCACTGCAGTGGAACCCACAGTGAACACGAGGCAGGGATAGGCCACGGGAAACAAGGAGATACGTGGAATGGGACATGAAAGAGATGAGGCTCACTTGAAACGAGCTTGGAAGGATGGCCCAGGACAGATATAAATGGAAGGAGCTTGTGTGTAGCCTATATCCCGCTAGGGGAGAAAGGCATTGATGATGATGACAATTCTACTGTGCACATAAGAACATGTTAATATCGCCCCTTTGGGAGTGGGTTTGTTTTTTGCTTCTTTTTTAATGTAGGTGTTTTTGCGCCTCCATCAGCACAACTTAAATCGATTAGAAGGGCCACCCACTTCCAACCCTGCCTATCAGGGGTCCACTTGGACTGAGAGGGATAAAACATTCCAGGAGAAAGAACAAGTTACTCGATATAAAAATTCTCTCCACTTGGGAATCAAACCCAGGTCTCCAGCGTGCAGCAGCAAAGCACTTAACAGCTACATCAAAGATGCCGGTGGTCATTTAGTGCTTAGAAAAAAATAAAATTGAAACAGAAAGGGACAGGAGAAAAAAAAGAAGATGTAAGATCTACCTCTAAACAAGCACATCGGCAACCCTTAGGCCATTCGTGTAAAAAAAATATCGACAGCACAAAACCCTACAAACCTGGGCATGAATTCAATGATGTAGTTCAGCAGATAAAATCCTTCATGGTCATGGGTTTTGGATGCAATCAGCTTTTGGAAGATACCCAACAGGCCATTCTGTAATGAAGAAAAGGGACACAAAAATTAAAGCAACTTATGAAATAGACTTGGTGTTTGTGGTAGCTTGGGAGTGGAGATAAGTTCATCTGACCTGCTGCCATATGCAACCACTAGGAAGACGTGTTTAAAGCACTGTTCAGGACTTAGCCATCTAAATAAAATTTTAAAGACTTCACAACTTCTAGCTAGTATAAAACATACTTTAATTGTGACAAATCTTTGTGTTTGTTTGAATAAAGAGAAGCACATCGACAATAATTATCACTTCGTGCTGAGACAAAGTATGACAAACAGACCGAAACAAGAGAGGGAAAGTACCGAAAAAGAACCTACTAATGGCGCCCTCCAACCACCTGCTCAAATCTTTCATTTAACACATAACTGTTGAAGAGACTTGACGGAATGTTGAGATGTGAACTAAGTCTAAGTACAGACAAATTTAAGTTTACTTATAATCGCCTTATATACACATGAGCGCATTAACAATAAAACAACATTAGTTTAACTGGACTGCCTTGCACACAGGCATCAAGTAAGTCTCTACACTGTACTGTATTAAACAATACAGTTAGCCTGCAAGCGCTCGGCATTCTCCCAGTTATCCGGCCCACTATCCATACCTCCCATCCATACCTCAATCTGTCAGATAAATTTTTGCAATTTTCTGCTCAATTAGGACCCTTGTTGTGCTATCCAGGTTTCGTCCCTTCTTTGTCACTACAACTAGGTCAATTTTAGATTCAACGAGACTTCAGATTCAGTGAGGACCATAGGTTGGTCCCAACAACCCTGTTGTATCCGAGATTCACCGTAGATTGAACTCACACAAAAAAGAGGCACATTAACTCACATTCATAGATCCCTAAAAGATTCTCTTTCACTGCAAAAGAGGTACAATGCAATGCTTTAACCTGAAGACATTTTACCAGGTGATCGATGAAAGTCTTCTCAACGCCATGCCTCTTCCAGTCACACAGTTACTAAAGCTGACAACATGATGCTGAAGAGTGTTGGTGCCAACTCACAGCCCGGTTTCGCCAAATTTATCACACACGAGGCTTCATACATTTTACCATTGTTTTAGACTCTGGCTTTCATGCCCTTGTGAAAATGGTGAACCATAGTAATAAATTTTGCAAAAAAATTTCCATAAATCATAAGCCTTCTCAACTAACATTATCAAAGGCATTTGTCAGATCAACAAAGGTCATATATTAGGCTTGATTCTGCTCAATAAACACCTACCCCTCCCCCCATCCGGAGCTTTGAAACGCCTCAGACTACGGAACATCAGATGCCAAGTGTGAATAACTTTGGTAACCCTGACAAACACCGGTCCCCAGCACACGCCTTACTTACACTAAGTCTCTTGTCACGTGATGCGAACACACGAACTTTTACTAACCCGTCTTGATGGTGAGCCCGACTATCCAAAACTCAGACGATGTTTGTTTTGGATTTTTTGTCCTTTTCTTTCTTCATATATGACAGCAAAATGATAAGTGTTAATGATTAGCATGGCGACACTGCGTTTATAATGCACACCATGCATATCATAACTGTTACAATTATGAGACAGATATTGGAAATTTTTTGGCAGTAAAGCGATAGTAGATCTTCAGTTTCGTGACAGAGACTGCCCTGCCTCAATATCACACACATACTTCCGCCAAAGCCACCTGTTTATGCAAAACATAGGTATACCCCTGCGATTGTCACACGATTGCCTGTCCTTTGTTTTTAGACATGCAGATAATGGTTGCAATTCTGTACTCCCGAGAAATACTTTCAGATCGTCACATTTGACAGAATAGTTCTGTAGGTGCTTGAATAAGGTCTCAATCAAAAGCAACAACCATAACTGGAGTAGTCAGCACAAGGGGCATTACTGAGCTTGGGCGTCTCTGGTACTATACTGAAGACAAGTAAGCAAATGCTAGAAGTCTACATAACATTGGCCTCTGTTCAGTGAAATGCTCGAATCAACAAGGCAATCTTACAAAATCATATCAGTATGACAGGAGCTGGTATCTTTAGACCTCCTTTGATATGAGCTTCATTATTGTGTTACCGCAGAGTATTTAAACATAGACAGCATCTCTGGTCCTATACTGATGACAAGTGAGTGAATGCTAGAAGACTGCATTACATGGGCACTACAGGTTTGTTCAGTGAAGTGCTCAATCTTTACAAAATCATATTGGTATGTCAGGAGTTGCTGTCTTTGATCTGAGCTTCGTGATTGTGTTGCGGCAGAGGTTGGACTTTCCTGACCTTGTTTGATCGACTGTACTTAAACAGAGACAAAGAAGGAAAAAAATCAATTAAGATTTTTAATTCCTCTCATTGAAGCTGTAGACTCTTTGAAGCTGAGGTCACACTAAAGTTTAGAGACTGCGAACTCGTATCTGAGGTCCACTGTATATATATGGTACATGGAACTGACCAGTTTATCTGCTTCAATCTGGTTGGCTCCCTTGTGAATAAAGGCCTGAAGCAGTCGCACCAAAGGAGGGATGTTGCCAGGTCGCTCCCACAACAGAGGAGTCAACAAAAACGGGAACATGGTCATGTAGGTCTCTGGAACTGTTCCGGTATGCTGCTCCATCAACATTGACAAGATTTGAAACACGTACGGAATGAACTCTGAAAGACAAAAAAGATTTTAAAGAATAATAAAAAGAAAATGGTGTTCTTTAGCATATAAATATATTTAGCATATATATACATTAAAGAAGGGTGAAAAGAATCCGCTAAAATTTCTTGAAATCCCCTGTTTGTGTCCAAAATATCATCACTTTTGTACACAGATTTAATATCTCATGTCCCTGAGACACCAACTCTTTTCCATGCATGTTGAATACAAAACTATGACAAAGGAACATCCACACCAAAGAGGTCAGTATACGTTATAATGCTTGACACGTGATTCACAAGAGGAAACAATCTCTTCAAATGGCAAAACTGTAGGTGAGGTATTCATACTTTTTATAGTTTGAATTGACACTATCCCAAAAAGAACCTTCGTCCAATTAATGATTTGACAGTAAACACACACACAGAGAAACTTGTGAAGTAACCTTCGATTTGTAGAGTAATTGCATGCAAATATTTTTTACAAAATAACTTTTCAAACATGCAATTTAAAACTTTTAAATGATATTACCACACTCTTTTCTCTTCCACCGTAATCTGAATTTTCATACAGGAGTCTTTCTAAAAATGAACATGCTTTTGTAGACAAATAAATGTAACATTTTGAAACTTAAAACAAAATCAATGACTGCTGCCCTTCATTTATATGGGCAAATACAAAATTCGGCCCTCTTCCTATGAACCATATGAGAGCATGTTCAACACATGCATATTCCAAATCTACAATCCCTACATAAATAGTTACCAGGATCAGATCTCACTTATTTGGAAACTGAACATCTATGTCAAGACAATTATTCTTACATGTAATAATAATAAATAATTATAATAATTACAGTTCTTCCCTCAATGTCTGACGATGACCAATGCATCTGTAAAGGAGCATGCCCAGGAGCATGCACCTTGAGCGAAACAGAAGAAATATATTTCAAACTGAGGAAATATTATTTTTTTAAATACAAGAGTTGACTTAATTTCTTTAAGTCCTTCCAGTTACACAGTGAGAGCTTAACTCCATTAAGATCTCCCATTAGCGGGACTACAGTTTAGTATGTGGTTTTACGGCACTCGCAACTGCATAAGGTCATATGAGTGCGCAGCGGGACTACATCCAGCAAAACTATCCCGCTAGGACAGGACGCAAGCAGAAGACGAGTCAATATCCGAGAGGAGATGACTTACCCTGAACATCCTGCTGCAAAATCTCTGTGAACGGCTGGAACAAGGCATCTTCAAACGACTCCACAGATTCCGGATGTTTCTTACAGGAGGTTTTGATTGCCACACACAAACATTCAAATAGATAGTGGTTGAAATGAGGCTTGCTCGGGTTCTGAGAAGGAATGAACAAATATGGTAAGATGTACATTTATTTCTCCTTACCAGCCATAGAAAAATTTTAAAAACAAAAACAAAAAAAACCCTAAGACAGGCCATTATTGGGTGCTCCAGTGCAGCCTACTATTTTTCAATTGCTTTATTTCCCTACTGCCACTGCTTTACTCTGTTCCGGTAGGATTTGGTCATCACGTCACTTCGTTTGATTGAGTAAAGAGAAGCACATCGACACAAGAGTGGTAATTTAGTGCTTAGAACAAGTGAGACAGACAGAAACAATAAGAGGGAGACTAAAGAAGTAGGACCTACCAGTGGCGCCCTCCAACCACTTCATCATAAACAGCAAAACCACAAAACCCAAATCAAGTATAGTTCTCAGGTACTGCTAAATTCTGTACAAATAATCAGGGAATACTGACACCCTTTACACAGTTCAACATGCGTGTCTGAAACCCCAATTACTGTCCATACCATGACAAACATATTGTTTTCAACGACAACACTTGGTATTTTTTAACACTTTGCGGTCACTTGACGCAATAACGCAACGGTGAAAATTATCCGTTCCAGTCACCTGGCGCAGCAGCTGCGCCAGGCCCAGGAGGTCCGTTGCAGTCACTCTCCTGGCTGGGTGACCAGATGGGATATTTTGTACTGCTGGCTGTGTGACTGCAAAGTGTTAAAAATCAGCCTCAAGCGTCTGTGGGGTAAAGACTACACCTTCCTCTAGCAACAAAAGACAATAATAATAATAATAATAATGGATTGCATTTATATAGCGCATATCCACTTATGCAATGCTCTATGCGCTTAACATGATACATATTATGGATTTACGAATCAATTTTAAAGGTACATAGTGTTACATACTCATGCAAACACATATTCACTCACGCATGCACCACACACACATACATACTCACATACACACATACGTACATATGCACATACAAACTCACAACGATCTACAGCTTGGATGCATTCTGTCTAATCGAAATATGATGAAAATAGAAATGATTTTAGTTTCTTCTTAAAAATTTCTAGATTTTCTGCTTCTCTGATAGTTTTTGGAAGCCTATTCCAAACAAGTGGGGCAAAATATGAAAAAGAGCGTTGGCCATATGATTTGTAATTTATTTTAGGCTTAACAAGGGTTGTTTTGTCACTGATGATCTGAGCGTTCTAGGAGGCACATAGGGTGTTAAAAGCTGTTTTAGATAGTCCGGTGATAAATCATTTAAGCACTTGTAGCAAGTTAAACAGATTTTCTATATGATACGCTGTTTCACTGGGAGCCAGTGTAATGTTTTTAAAATAGGAGTCACATGATCATGCTTCAGTTTTTTAGTAATCATTTTGGCAGCAATATTTTGTACTCTTTGTAGTTGTTGTAACTGTTCATCAGGTACACCAGCCAGTAAGGAATTGCAATAATCAATCCTTGACAATATAAGTGATGTTATTAAAGACAAGGATTCGATTCCAGCAGAGTGAAAATAATATAATGGCCATCTCCACTTTTCTGCTGGATTTGCACCATTCAGCCTGGGCTAGTGTTAAACCGCTGAGTAAAAGCTGCCTGTCACCTAATCTAAATCAATTTGACGATTGTGGGAGTTGAACTACTGAACAAATCTACCGAGGACGATTTGGCCCAGAGACAACTTTCAACAATATAGCATGCATCTGCTCAAAGGATATGGATACTGGCAAACTAGTCTACGTCCAAGTATTCTGACTTGAGAGCAATGACGAAATGTGAAACAAATTTTGTTGAAACCTGAATCTTTATACAATGTGAAAATAGATTTCCCACCAGCACATGTCATACTCCATGCAGGTCATGGATTGAGAACTCACCTTGCTGACCAGCGCCAATTTGGCTTTCAAACCAGTCAGCAGCTGGGGAATCATGGGATGGATCTGATCCTGGAGAAGTGACATTGTCCTCATCACAGCTGGAGAAAGAAAAGAGAAAAAGAAAAAAGACATCAAAATCTTGACAAAAGTCTGAAATTCTCTGCTGGTAAAGCTAACCATTTCAGTATTAGTTTTACAATTCAGTTGATTGTGTAGGCACTTGGATATCGGCCCGCGCGGCCCGAGATTTTCGTTCACCTGCGGCCGCCGCGTTTTGTGTCAGAAATCGGGCCCCGTGAGGGGGGTACCTATTTGTTTTGTTTCGTTTATAGTGTTCTTTTCAATTTATGGATTACTTCCGCCTATCAAATTAAAGAGGAAAGAAAGGCGCGTATTATGGCGTTTTCCACTTCGGGATCGGTTGTGTGTGTTCGGAGTTACAAGGAGTTAAAAATAAGGTAAGTTCAAGCCTTTATATTTAGAGTATATCTTTTTTTTTTTAGGTACTCCTCACAGTCTTTTCTTCAACCTTTTATCTCTTTTATTTGTTAATTTCAATGTTGTACATTGAGGCATAAGCGTGTGAGCCCTAATTTAAATAGGTCACTCTCCATGAATGGGCATGACCTATTATCGATCGCGCTGCTGAGCGTGAACCGGGAGGTCATGGCGGCCATTGCGGAAAGCGAACTTAACCCACGCTAACGTGTATTGTTGGCGTTTATTACCTCTTAAACGGCATTGAAGAATGTTTTATAGTAGAAGATATGATTTATTTTAAATTTTGGAATGTAATAAGTATCACTGTTGTATAATTTTTATGAATTTGAACCATGTAACAATCAGTAAGGTGTTACTGTCACTGTTAGACCATCCATTTCACGCAAGTTTTTACTTCTTTTGTGTGCTTATATTGTCTTTAAATATTTTTTCTTCTTAATTGTTTTTGTGTGTGCTTGTTATTTAAATATCTCTTTAAATTATCATGTACTTTGTCCAGTTTGTTTTAAGATAGATCTACATGTTTATTAGAAGATGTTTTTTCTCTTGTCTAGTCATCTACACTCTCCCTTCACAAGAGTTGTAGAGTGAAAATGTCAAATTTCCATCCACTGCTCACAAATGAATTTATTTACTTCATTGATGAATTCATTGCTTTGCTTTTTTTTTCTTTCCACAACCCCTGATCACAACCTGCCACTGTTCCATTGGATTTATTGACAGCTCACCAGAATAAATCCTGACTTTAATTAAAATCCAGAAATGCTTGCGGAGTTGGTCGAATTCACAGAAAAACTTGTTTGAACAAGTTGCAAAAAAATTGAGCACTTAAGAAAGCATTTGTTGCAGACAAGGAAAAAAAATTGACATTAATTTAACAATATCAAGTTGGCAGACTGGGTGAACTAAACAATTGCCAGAAATAAAGAAAGAATAAATAAGTATCGTGACACAATTGCGTGCTTCAAAAAACATGTCATATTTCACAACTAATTGTCTTTGAAGAAGATGAACATTTAAATAAACACAATAAAAATATAATGAAAAACTTGCTGAACAAACTGAAGTAATAAAATTAGAAGAGACTATTGTTTAACTTACAGGGCAATCTCATGAGTTAAAGATGTAAAAGAGAAATCAAAGATAAAGACAGAGTAATTGATCATTTACATGACAAATTAAAACATGAAAGAAACATTCTAACAATAACATGCAAAATGAATTTAAAAAACAGTATTATCATGAATTAAGGTAGACTAAAAACACTAGTTTGCAACAGCTGTAGACACAAATGTTAACTTTAAAAACTTCTATGCTCATCTTATTTTAGGCGACCAGCTGTTTTGTTAAAATATATTTTATTTTTTAATCAGTTTTTTTGTTAATTCTACTGATATTTGATATGTAGATGTTCCAAAAGAAAGGCCTTAAAAAGACCTTCAAAACAATACCTCAATTATTGATGTAGCTTAATTTATAAGAAAGTTATGGCAAAATATATTGACCGCAGGACGGTGCGGTCACGTTACACAACACAGTGTTACATAATATTACCCAATATTACCCACCACGATATATTTTAAAAATCTCGTCTGACTGTTATTTTGTCCTCAACATCACAAGGTTTCAGAAAATGTTTGGTTTTTGCATGTACGCAGCAGCATATTGAAGCAGCTAACATTTCCCTTGTTGTCCTTGCTGTTTCGATCACAAAAATTGCCTTTTTTTTCTATATAGATGTTATCCTCTCGAAAAGATCTTTAAAATGCCATATCTCAAAAACGGTTCAACATAGAGCAATAACTAAGGTAGCGTTGGAATCGTGTCACTGAGCTCTTTGCATTGGTATTGTTTTTAAAGCAATTTGAAAGCTTTGAAATTTTTATCCAAGTGCCTAGATTGTGGCATGGGTGGTTGGCAGATGCTCAGGTGTGGTTTGCTCCTTCTTTCTTATCAAACATCTATCGTCCTTATCTCTCCCCCTTCTTTCTTTGGTTTGTCACGCTCTTGTAACACCTCTTATCTTCGGCAATGATATGACCTAATTGTGTTGCAAGTGCCAAAAAAAAACACCTTGCCAAAACAAAAAGATTTTGGCACAGGTAACACTATGGTCAATGACCCTTTAGCATTAACACCATTCGTTTCCACTCTGAAATAAAAACACTAACAGCTAACTAGCATAAGCAGGAAAAATCTTTTAAGCACAAAAACACTCACCTTTCATGATATATTCATTCTCAGTAGAGCCAGGCCGTTCCATGGCACCAAATAGATTTGTCAACAGATCCCCAGCAATGGGCTGAATCAATTCACTTGTGATGCTGTCAGGAACAAGACATTGGTTCGTTTATACAAGATCTATTTCAACAATCCTGTAACACAGATAAAGCCAGGAACATGTGTGAGGCAGAGTGGTGAAATCAAGCGTTCGTCAAAATAACGAAATCGGAGAAACAGGCATGTTTCCCCCAGTTTGGGAATTTGTATCAAATTTTTATTTTTTGGCTTGAATGTCCATATAAAAACAAACATTTGCAAGTGAATTTTATTGAAAAACATTGATTAAAGGCACAAAACTTGCCATTTTCAGTTTTCAAAGACTCTTTAGCTACTGGAGTTATCAAACTTTGGCAGCCATTTTCTCGCTAATTTCAACACTGAAAAATGGCGACCTCACCTCCTTCAATTGCAAATATCTTGAGTTTTGTTCAAGATAAATGGATGTTTATTTCATTGGAAGCAAGGCAAATAAATCAGCTTTCAGATGATACAATACCTCCGCATGCCATAAAATTGACGAGCGCCTGATTCCACCGCCTCATGAAACATGTTTCTTTATTCATACGAGGTTTATATGTCTTTATACCTTGGCCTTTGAAAGAAAAATGAGTAAGTTTTAGTTTACATGGTGAGTAAAAACCATTGGTGTCATCCCTTTTCTTACAACGGTGACAGCATGTACCAAAATAATCACACTTTACAATTACTCATTAAAAAAAACAACCCAAAATGCCTGTTTACACTTCATAATTATTGAAAAATGTAAAACTTGGCGAATCTAGTATTTCAAACCACAGACCATATCAAATTCTCACACTTGCATAAAATAATTTGTAACACATACCCTTAACTAATATACACCCGAGGAGTCGGGTGGGTAAATTCGCGGAGGGCAGAGTGTTTAAGTGTTGAGCCAGACAAGCAAAGCTTTTACAAACCAACAGAACCATATTATACCTCCACACATCTTTAAACTTTCAACTGTTACCGAATAAAACTTTCAACTGTTACCGAATAAAACTTTCAACTGTTACCGAATAAAACTTTCAACTGTTACCGAATAAAACTTTCAACTGTTACCAAATAAAACCTTTCTTAACTCCACTTACGCAGCCACCCCATTCTGTCGCACCATGAAGAGCCTCTCTATGGCGTGCGCAGCATACGTGTGTACCACAACTGGTTCTGCCTTCAGACACACGATGAGGTCAGGAATCGCAGCTTGGACCACACAGGCAGGAAGCTGGGGAGAACACAAGGAGAAATCTCAAAACAACCATACAGTGCTCAATCCAAAGGGAAGCAAATCAACAAAATGCGGGTTACTGAGGGTTGGGGAAGAAGCTAAATTAATGTTGGACCATACCATAAAGAATATTAAAGAAAGGTTCTTTCAATACATGTGTCACCCATCCTTGGGTCGCAAATTACTTCTTTGCAGGTACTGTGTCTGCTCTATATAGATCGTGACAAAAAAATCCTTGTGAAAGTGAAACAAATATAAATGACAGCCAACATGTATTAACTCTTTAAACCCTGATTTTTTTTCCACCGTTTCCCAGAGTATTTTCTACAGTCACCAAACCTGGCGAATTATGTCTCATTATAACCCCAAAAGCTTGTCTTAAACTTCTAAATGGCAGAAAAAAAGGCTTAGTCATTACTAAAAAACTTAGTTCGGGAATAGTTCCAGAAAACAAAGAAAAAACTAGCACCAAATGAAACGAAACAATTGACTAGTATCGAATGCTCCTAGCGGGTCCGATGTGGAACAGGGTTATTACCGCAGCGTCCGATGGGGTATAAAGAGTTAGAGGCTATTTCTTGTCAAGAAACTGCCGGTAAACTTCATAACATGATAAATCTTTGTAAAGAGATTTACGTCATGCCAGGGGGTGCTCAATGTATATTCATCTACAACTACTGTTACATACAGTCAACTAATCATGCATATTCTTTCCAATAGGCACTCAAACAAATCTTGGTTGGTTTTAAAGTTCAGTGGCACTGGTACTGCATAAGATGTAAGTGGGATAATTTTTGTAAATGTCTGAAGAACCCAAAGTTAACTGAGTGAAAACCTGTACTGCATAAGATGTAAGTGAGATGATTTTTGTAAATGTCTGAAAAACCCAAAGTTAACTGAGTGAACCCGACCAGAGGTGCCTTTCAGCACTCAACAGGTAATTGAATAGAAAAATAAGGAAAGAAAGTAAAGTACATGTACTTATAATCAACTCATTATTCAGAGCACCCCAAAGTTGCTTTTAAAAAATCTACCCTGTGAAATCAGAGCCCGTTTTTGACAATAAAGAAGTGAAACCGGGGGTAATCAGGGCCAATCCCTAACATGTTCTTCAGTGAAATATGAGTAGAGCAAAAAGACTGAAAAAATAGTCCTGAATGAGGATAGACCTGGCAGAGAGTCAAAATAATTCTCCAACCAACCTAAAATAAGAACCCATGTTGCCTTCGTCATGGACACAGATTTTGGCATTCTTGTAGTTAAGTTAAGAAAAGCTTATTCAAACAACAAATCTCCTCTGATGTAAGGCTTCCTCTTCTGGACAATCCATTCATTCCAATCTCCACTCTCAGTCCTCCACAGGACATTACAAGGTTGCAACCAGCTGGCTTACTTTAATTTTCAGATCCAGCAAACATCTGAGTTCCAGCCCCTTGGCTTGTCGATATGGCCAGTAGGAGCCTGCAAAGTCAGGGGAGGAACCCTTGACCATGTCACTGAAAGTCTGACACTTTATTTCTTCAACATACGGTCGAACTTATTCCAAAGGCCACCTGTCTAAGACAATCACCTTCCTACATTATAATGACACTGTTCAAATTGTCCACTGGTATCCGACAAACACTTCTCTCCTCGAGAATGGGAGGCCGTATTCAGACCCGCCACTCTATGAAATCTAAAAATCAGGATTTTAGAGTTAAAAAATCAGGATCTGGTGAAAAAAATCGAGATCAACGGCAAATCAGTCATAAGGGGTACTGGGGAAGGAAAGGGGGGGGGGTCTGGTTCCCTTTTATGAGGCAAGTATGCAAAACAAAACTTTTGCAGGAATAAGTTCACGTTTGGGCCTCTAAATAAAGAGAAAACTGAAAGACAGCACTTGTGTACTCGAGTCGGAGTTGGATAGACTGGAGGAGCGCAGGTTGCAGTAAAGCTGAGACTCTCGTAGTCTTGAAAAAAAGCTGACACATAACTCTAATCATCCATGCAAAAAGCCCGCGTTTTCATACAGTAACAACATTTGACTTCCATCGCATATACACTCAAGGCCCACACCCCCCCCCAAAAGATTGCGCCAAGGTTGTTCATTTATTTATTTCTTTTTTCTTATTCCTTTAACCTCAATTAGTACATGTATCGGCACTTTAAGCTCAAGTGTCAAAAATAATACTCCCCCCCCCGGCCGTCCACACTGGTTAAGTCCCGAAAAACACCCCTACCAATGCGACCAGTGTGAATGAACTATGTAGACCCCTACAACCGACGGTCCCCGACACACGCGCAACTCACCACATGTACGAGGTCATGTCATGTGATGCGAATGAGCGTTTGAAAGTTCCACTGACAGGTCTTGATGATGGACCCGACTAACCAGAACTCGGATGAAGCTTGCTTTTAAAGCAACGGCAAAACAAAAAATAGATTTCTTAGGCCCATGTCATAATTGTTACAGTAATCAGGACACCATTGGAGAATTCTGGGTTATAAAAGCGAAAGTAGATCTTGAGCATATCCATGTCGGAATTCCAAATCGATACTATGTCCATTTTAGTTGAAATAACGTGCGTGAGTCATCTATAAAAAATCCAATCGGTGGTTCCAAGCAAAAGGGATTGCAGAACTTTTTATATTTTTTTCTAAGAATCGGACGCAACGACAAAAAATCAGGATACTGGCGATCGAAATCGGGAAAATCGGGATGCTTGAGATTTGGGGTAAAAAATCGGGATATCCCGATTAAATCGGGATGAGTAGCAGGTCTGCGTATTGGACAATTTCAACTGTATAGCTTATAATTTAAAAAGTTGCCCAATGGTATGGAACAATCCTGAATTAAGTTTTCATTTAAACTCCTATCTGGACAATAATATTATGGAAATCAAAAAGCATTTGAGAAGAGGGAAACATTAAACAGGCGCTCACCTGATTTCTAAACACCATGAGGTACTTGATGACATCTGCCTTGATAATGGGCACACCCTCAGCTGTAATATGTGAACAACAGGCCAAAGAAATGTAAAAAGATCATAACACAAAAATCATTTCATGATATTGATTGGTTAGTCCAAGATCCCTTATTTCCCATTTTCTTCATTATAACTGACTGTATCAGTAAGCGATACAGTCATCTCTCAATAACATAGCTTTTCTTCATGTTAACTCAACTACATTCCTCCCCTCTGAAGAAGGGACAACAACATTCAGTATTTTCATGTTTATTTAAATTCTTAAAACTGCAAACTATTGACCTGGGCTGTTGTTATACTTTATATAACAATATCTCTAACTAATGCCAGCGAAATAAAAACAACACAAATGTTACCAGTTTTGGAAAGGACTTGCCACAGGGTCTTTGAAAATTGTGTCAATATTCTCTACAGAATACAAGAAGCACATTACGCTTTTTTAAAAACTGTTGCTCCTGCAACAGAAGGGGGTGTGAGTAGAGCTACTGCATTAATGATCAAATACATTTCTATCCTCCCCATTAAGTCTGCCAAAAGAAATCAAAATTAATACAATATAACTTCAGTAGGTAAACTGACCTTCTTTGAAAAAGTTGTGTAACTAAATAAAATAGCATAGAGAAATCTAATGTAAAAAAAAAATGTTAACTAGTTAAAAGAAACAGAAAAAACAAACCCCAGGGCAGCTGGGAGAGAAAAACAAAAAGAAGCTGATAAAAAAAACAGCAGAGTGATACGGCCTAGCACCCACATATCGAACAAGCACATATCTAAACATGCACACAGTGAACAGATTTTCAGATCCTGTATCTTTTCTTTAAACATATATATATATTCTTTGTATTTAAAACACATACATAGCAAAATTCATATTTAATAAAAAGATTTCCTCGCCATGCAAATTTCGCTATGTGCATGCAAGACTGCATCTTGTCTTGGTAAGTAGTTATCCCTCTCACTGCTACCTTTCTTTGCAATCCTGCTTGCTTTTCGGGTCATTCACTTCCTATCATCGTACAACAACCAATCCTACACACTACAGGCAAATTTTACTTCCACTAAAGCAAAAGGTCCCCTGTCTTTCAAACTGCCATGTGTTTTCAAAGAGAAACTAAGAAACATTTATGCTGAAGACAGGTATCTTCAGCACTGGGAAGAGGTTTATTAGGAATTAAAGCAATTACCCAATTCCAATTGTCAGGGACCACAGTCTCATTAAACATGCACACTGGACCTCTCTCCAACTTTTTTCATCCTTCATCATAAAGACTATTCTCAACCCCATCCACCTCCAGCTAATAATGGCATGCAGAGATCCCTCAACATGAAAAGAAAAAAAAAATATGACACATGCAACTCACCAGTGGACTTGAGATCTGCCAAGATGTGAGTTTGGTAGAATTCTGTGATATTCACAAGCTCGCTCGTCTGAGTCACCCCTTGCTGAAAATTGACAAAGGACAGCAAACCATACTCATATGTAAAGAAAAGTGTTAACAAAAAAATAACAACAACGAACACCCCCCCCCCCCCCCAAGCATTCAGGTCAAAGAACCCATCGCACCACATAAATATTTTTCATCAGGTTTACAGCTACACGTAAAAAACTTCTGGAAGTATACTCAGCTCCTGGAAGTTTCACACCAGAAATTGAAAAGCTTTAGTAACCATCACCGTGCTGTAAAAAAACAACAACTGCTATACCCCCCTGAGATGTCCTAGGAATAACACAGACCATTACTAAAAGGAACTACAATAGACAGCAGAAATGGGCAGGATTATAATATGTCACACACAAAAGAGCCATTACCCTAATCATATGAAGACATTATAAAGAGAAGCAGCCCTTGTGTTTCAATTGGTACTTCTCATATTCTACGTTACAAATTGTTCCTCACCTTTTGAGTCTGACCCTTCGCAGCTAAAGAAGTCACCAGAAAGATGGCAGCATCTTTGCTTTTCCAGTTTTGAGTTGGATTCTTGACATATTCCTGCAGATAATGAAGATATTTAAAGCTGAGAAGAAATAGGCACAAACACTCCTAGACTCCCACATTAGTATAATTATTCATAAGAGGAATGAACCAAAAATGAACAGGCCTGCAGTCAGTCTCTGAGGAACAAAGAGCTTTGCACACACATTTCCCAACCTAGCACCTAGCCATTCTCATATTCCAAATTCAAAGGCTTCCAACACAATTCTTGGAAAAATATATGTTTTATCAAGCATTTTTCCAAATATAGAACAAGTGTCCTCATGTTTGCTCATTATTCTAAATTAAAAAGAAACAAATTAATTGTCTTTATAAAGGTAACAGTTACAGAATCTTTAAAAAAAACAACAAAGAAAAAAAACAACAAAAACACAACCCAGTAACAAGAGAGAATAGGAAAGACACAACAAACAATAGTTCCACTTACGAAAATGTAAAAAACTAAGAGGAGACTTGCAGGGATGTGACAAATGCCAAATCAGATGATACAAAAACTCACAACATTTAAAAAAGAACAGATATGACAATAATTAGTAAGACAAAAAAAAGAAGTGAAAGCAGGCCGCACTGAAAAGCCTGCCACATAACCAACTAGATTTCTACCATCTTAATTTTTAGTTTTAATAAAAAATATTACAACACAAATAGGTCATATAAATACTTAAGATAAGAGATGTCACCAGACAGTAACAAACAAATGAACAAATACAGAGAAATAAGGACAACAGATGTTTGATAGGAAACAAGGATCATATCAAACCATAGCACCTGCTACCTATTCACAGAGGGACAACAAAGATGTAGAACCTACCAAGGAAACCATAAGTGGTTTTTGGTGAATTCTGAGAATATTCACCCCCATCTTACCTCCAACAAAGCCTGGACGTAGCGAGAAAAGTTCTGAATGACTAATCCTTCAAATGATTTGGACAAAGCCTGTACCAAGTCGCAAGCTGCTCTCCGCCTTGTGTCCACATCTGTGGGATGCAAACAAAAAAAAAGAATGTCAATTCCTCATGTTTCCACTGGTTGTCGAGAAGGAATGAATGACAACAGTTTATGAATCGAGAAGAAACAAAAAATTAAACTATAATTTTACCATGCACTATTCTACCTACCGTTTGACAGTCTTGGACATCTTGAACTATCGCACATATTTGCTCCCAAGAAATATTAAATCATCTCACAATATGAAAACAGGAAGACCACACGAGCACACCACTCACCAGAGCCTTCAATGTCTCTCCGCATGTACTCCTCAGGGTTATCCTCAAAAAGTTCCACATCTGCCTCTACAAGAACAAAAAAGCAACGGTGGAAAAAGTTAAGAAAGATGGTAAGGGATGTGGATGTGGAGAGGGTGGGGGGTTACTTGCTATGTAAAATTGTGCCTATTTACCAAATTAACCATGCTTCATCCCTCAATAAATAATTTCACCTCGCCATTTAAAAGTTAATAAATCCTGAGATATAACAGCTTGTTATTACTGTATATTCTCTTGGCCATCCAAATTGGTCTAAATGACAATTTCCTTCCCTCTGGAGATATACAAAGGGGAGACATCACTAAAAATAAATCTGCCAGCCAATCTATTGACTCATTTTTCTTTTAAAAAATAATTAATTCAACGGTTTGTATAGATGTGTTTACAGGCCCCCACAACTGTTTATCTGAGTGCCAAACAATACTTGTTTCTATAGTCTGTCAGCACCACAACATTTTATCTGGGTGTAAGACAATCATTATTGCAAAAGTCTGTCAGCGCATTCTTTGCTTGGTATATTTGTTTGTCCTGGGATCTATTGAAATACAAGTCTAAACGTATTGAACAGGATCATTGTTCTGCAGAAGTTTCTCAATCTCAAAAAAGGGATTCATTTACAGAGAGGGTTTTGTATTGTTCAAATCAAGTAACCAAAAGTCTTGACATTTTGAAAAATCCTTTACCGTGAGTGCAACATATACATCACAGCATCTTGTTTGAAAAACCACCAAGTAATCCATCTAAGTCAATTACTTTACTGAGCTCATATCAGGTGTTTTTCCATCTTGGATCTACCAATGAGTTTCAGACTTTGATACATGTTTAAACGTTATTCTAAAAACAGCAGCCTTTATGAATTCTGTTTAAGTGAAAATTTCTATCATAAAACGAACTGTTTCTAAATCATCAACCTCTTGACATTTCAACAAACACCAGCGCTTGTTGACAGTTGATCAGAAGACAGATCAGCTGGGTAATTCAGACAATGATGGGCCTGGCTTCACAGGAAATTACACAGACAGTGACTTAAGAGTCTGTCCGAGACAGTAAAAGTTAAAGTGACAGTTTGAATGGAAAAGAAAGCAATGAGGAATGTCGTTGATCTAAACATGACACTTCCAGGACACACGAGCGTGGCGAGCTAAATGGAAATGGGGCTGATTCAAGTGAGGATGTTGATGAATTAGCAATTTAGAGGTGTAGCTTAGTAAAGACAGCTCAATTCAAAGTAACATTCATACCTTTATTGTGTAAAATATCTTTAATAATAGAGGCTTAAAATGAAGTGTCATGATTCCACCATTTATGGCTCAGAAACCCAGTTATGGAGCAGGAGTCTGTAACGCGTAGGAGGTGAAGGTTCAAAGGGACAAATTTCAAATCCGAATCTAAAAAAAAGTACAACAAATTAGTAAGACAATAGACTATTACTATATCTAGACCAGAGACCAGTAGACTTTACAAAGAACCATTACTTCAGCTTACCCCTCAACTGAATATTTGGTACCACAACTTTTTCACAGATATTGGCCAGAGTTTCTGTGTTATCGAAGAGGACTTTGTAGGCGGGCCGCTCTGCCACAGATGCCAAAAACTGAATAGCATTGCTGACGAGCTGAAATGACAGTTACAAACAATTTTTTTAAATGTACAACACCAGCCATCGTTAACTTCTTGATAGAAAGTTTTTGTTACAAAAATAGACCACACAAAATAAAGTTCATCGCTACTTTATATCATCCAAAATTGTTTTTTAACTCTTGCAGGTCAGAATGCCTTTCCACTTTTGGATGGAGACATCTCAAGGAGCATCACCAAGCAAACATTCTTTGACTTAATAACAAGTCTACAAACGAAGAAAGAGATTAGAACATTCTACTTTCCTGAAATTAGACAAACAGAGAGAAATCTAACCCTTCCACAAAATTAAAATAAGACACAGCTCAAAGCTGAATCATGCTGCAAAAAAAATAAGAAAAAGCTTTTTTATGAGACACAAAGTAGTAGGCTACATACAATCCAAAATTACACATCTTTGAAAGGCTTTCTTTCTTTCTTTCTGTTTTTTTTAAATAAAATGTTTACACTCTCCAGCTCTTTTGTCCCCGTGAACCAAGGAGTTTAGAACTAATGGAGTCTCCTCTCTCTCTTTGCGGCGCCGCGAGCAGTACGCCTCGTTGGGGATCAATTATGGCCACCGAGTGTGGGCTAAATCACGAACTGTGGCGTTTCTTTTTATAGAATTTTATCGGGCTGGGCCACGTTGTGGGGGTGGGCGGGGTGGGGGAATGCACGCAAGGAAAAGGGGATGGGGCTGGGATGAAAGAGGAGGGGCGGGCCTTGGGAAGGGAAGAAGGAGAATGGGAAAAATTAAATAAGAGAGAGAGAGAGAGAGAGAGAGAGAGAGAGAGAGAGAGAGAGAGAGAGGGAGGGAGGGAGGGAGGGAGGGAGGGAGGGAGAGAGAGAGAGAGAGAGAGAGAGAGAGAGAGAGAGAGAGAGAGAGAGAGAGAGAGAGAGAGAGAGAGAGAGAGAGAGAGAGAGAGAGAGAGAGAGAGAGAGAGAGAGAGAGACAGATTGTGATCAACTGACGGGCTGACGGATAATGACAGGGAGAAAAAATTATGTGTGTGATACGGACTGTTCAATTCTTTAAGAGTTTTATGTTATAATCTAGTTTAAAAATCAAAAAGATGTGTAAAATAAGAAGAAAACTTGTCCGAGTAACATAAAATTATCAAACATACCAAATTAAAAAGATAATCTTTCAAGATGCTAAAATATTTAATTATAAGAAATGGATGAAAATATACTTTTAAATTGAGTTTAAGATATATGATTGCATGATTCTAGGCGTGCGCCATAACTAACTTTATGTGTAAGGAATAGCGGACACAAAAGAGGGTCAATGTTTGCTTTATCTAATTGCTAACAGTATGTCTTGGTCTATAAATAATATTATTGATCACAATAATTTTGTTTCCTGGTTTTCACAAAGTGGAGCGCACAATGATTTCAAATATTCAAAAAAAAAAAAAAAAAAAGAGATAACAGCACCCTTGGAGGTGTGATCGCATGCATGAGCGTGGATAACCTTTGAAGGTTGTTTTTTTTCCAGTAAAGTATGATATGGAGAGCAGCGTTTTTAGTCCCTTATTACACTCCAGAGGGGGATAATTTGTCTTAGTGATGACTCTTGTGTAGTAAAATTTGTTGTTGCTTTGTTTGGTTTATTTTTTAACAGCAGAATCTTAAGTGAACCGGAATTATTGATTGTGGGATCTTAGGTGAAGACTACAACAATAGAATTAAACCGAGTATAGTTCTATCTAACAAGACTCAAACTCTTATCCACCCCACCCTACCTTCTCCCCTCATCTGATATGGCTTGGTGTTTCTTTAACATAGAAAATATTCATCATTATTGTTGTTGAATATTGATTTCATGTTCTAACGGAGCCTCTAGATATCTACATTTAGACTACAGTAGCATCTAATTTGCACACACAAAGGAAAGCAATATCTTTAATTAAAATGTATAATATGTATATACATACACACACATAATAATTATATATATACTCATAATAATTATATATATTTTTGAATAAGAATACTTTTTAAAAATTGAGTATCTCAGTCTTTCTGCTGGGGTGTTGTATCCCTTTCAGCCTGGGTTGGCCTTGGCATAAAGCGCCGGGGCCAGCCTCTTATGAATTAATGATTTAAATTGTGTTCCTGGGGGCATAGAAACACTTTCATTCAAATTTTTAAAAAGGGAAAAAAAAAGGGAAAAAACTTAACTGTGAAAACTTCGGTCCATTGCAGCATCATATCGGTTCTTACACTTAAATACAACACATATGCAAGGCATTTTTACTAATTGACTTGCCTAATCTGAAGGACCTCGGAATAAAACCTTCTTTCTTATCTAGATTTCAGTGCCTTAGTCGGGCAATCGCGCAGCGCAGGTAGCCCACGGTTCCGCCGCGAGAGAGGGCTCCTGTCAGGCGTGCGGTGCCGCCCACAGGGCAACCTCCATTACTTTTAATGTCCTTGCCGTGAACTCACCAGATCATACTTGACTTCCTGTCCCGTGGTGACCAGCAGTCCCCAGATGGCAGTGACAAACGCCTGAAGGTGTGGGGAAAACTCCTCATCGTACTTCTGAGCATACAGCGCTACGTTGTCGCAAACCTGGGACTTGATTTGTTCAAGCAGGCCAGCCTCATCATCCTTTTTGAAATAGAAAGAAGTTATCAGGATATGATTATATCTTAACACTTTGTCCCCACGGGACACCGATCGGCGACGGTAAGAAGCCGTACCTCTTCCCCACGGGACGCCGATCGGCGACAGTGTGATATAGCATTTACCGCACGTATATCCTTGTCCTTGGGGATAAGTGTTGCGCTCTGCGTGGGTGGATAGTGTTAAGGAATATTTCATGCCTTTGGTGAAGTGATTTCAGTGCATATGCAGGCAGTGTCATTTACTCTGGGTACATTAACTCTTTATCTCCAAAGGAGATAAACCCACTATGACAGGGCCCTCTTTTGGTACGAATTATACATACGTCACTAAACTGGTCATCAAATCAAAAAAAAAGTAAACCTGTTTCGATTGTTTTCATCTAATGAATGGACTCCGAGTAAAAGAGACCTGTTTGCAGCAATTGCCGAAAAGTAATTTCCCGTCGAAGATGACGTAAATTAATGAACCCGAGCCGCTGCGGCTCGGCTGACCGCACAGCCGTTCCAACCGCGAGCCTGGAGCGGCTGGCAGAAATAAGTAGTGAAGTGTCCTTCAATTTCTGTTCACAACATCAGCATAGTAGTTCCGTCTTAGATTCTGAAGCAAGAGACGGAACAACTACAGGATTTCAATAATGTCAGTCTTTGAAACAAGTAACTAGTAACACAATGGGGTCATATAATACACGGCAAAAACAAGTACGGGAATTAAAGAAGAAAGATCCTGCATCAAAAATATTTAAAAGCTCTGTATTGGCTTCTAGTTGATAAAAGAACCCAATATAAGGTTTTTAGCATCTGTTATAAATATCTGATCAATAATGTCCCATCATAATATCTGTCTGAGCTTTTAACAGCGTATGTTCCATCTTGTCAGTTACGGCCATCCGGACGCAACAAAATTCAAAGCTCCTACAAAGAAATTAAGATCTTTTGGTGAGAGAAGTTTCTCATTTTTTGACCCAAAAATCTGGAAATCTTTGCCCCAAGACCTAAGAGAAATAACAAATCTTAATATGTGTAAGCTATTGCTCAAGACTCATTTGTTTAATTCGAATTTATAGTTTGTTAGTAAGTGTTGATATGTTTTGTTTTTACTGCTGCCCTTGCGTGAATATAATTAGTATGTGGATGGATGTGAAAGTTTCTCTTTATATGGGTGAACTAGTTTTCTTGTTATTGTGAAATGTTTTTATCTTGTGTGAATGAAGCATTACGCTTAGCGATCATGTAATTGATGTAGAGCACTCAGAGCTTATACTTGAATGGGATAGAGCCCTATATAAATGCAAAATAATTAAAAATAATTATTGCTCTTCCCAAATGCTGATACATTTCAGAATTCAATTGCTCAAGACACAAACAGAATCAAGACTTATCAATGAAATCCCACAAACTGAGACCAAAATTAATTTCCCGTTGCCCCAAAGAAGCCCTCAGAAAAAACTTTCCAAGTCATAAGGTAATTAAAGAGGAGACACTTGACATCTCCATGGCAGTAAACAACCAAGCTATATACAGTGCTTCCATCAGCTGAAGCTGAAAAGTAAGGAAAATTCTGCCGGGGATCCGGGGGCCGCAGAAGCCCCCCGAAGAAATTGAAATTGAGTATTTTTAGAGGGTTGAAAATGGCATTTGGGAGCCTGTTTGAAGAGATTGCCAACAACCCATACCACCTATTTTTTCACCAGGATTTTGTCTTGCTTGATTTCTTCCCCTAAATATCTTTCCATTGCTGGCAATGTTTAAAAGCAGGTTCCCCTTCCATTGCTACTATAATTCAATTAATTTATCATCGCACCATTGATAGAAGGCAAACCTGGGAATAATGAATAAATATATACCTTCACAATACAGTTACCCAGCGTATACCCTAATTTTCCTCAATTTTCATGTCTGAATGTCGCATGTCACAACCTCGGAACACCACTTCGAATTATTCTTGATTTTAGTTGTTTTAGCACAAATTTCTTTCATCGCGGCCGTTATCGCGTTCCCGTGCCATACAACCTTCCCACTGATAATTTCTCTAGATCTAGACAATGAATTTGCAAAAAAGTTTCTTTCTGAGAGTAATTTTCTGTCTAGGATCACAAGTCAATATACTTGATTAACGCGCAGATTTTCCAGCCGCTGCAACAATCCGAAGCTAGACAGACGGATTGAGGGAACGATAGAAAGGAGGAAAGTGGCAATCTGCAGGTAAAAAATGAACTGCTGACCAACCCGCAATGAATGCAAGGGGCATAGCGGAATAATGGCCGACGGCAGGAAATGCGCAATCTGGCAGGTTTCTATAACATAAACTATTGTCGAGAGAATTACCGTAAATATCCCTAACTTATACAAGACGATACGAAGGGAGGTACGGATCTTTTCCTAGTCCTACGCTGTCGCAGATTTTTACGGAGGGAGTTGATAATGGTGGAGGAACAAGTACGGAACTGGCAGAAAGTACGGATTTCCGTAAAAATACGGAAGAGTGGAAGCACTGTATTTAAAGACTGGAAGTTGGTGGTTGGCAGATGGTCTGGTGTGGTTTGCACCTTTCCTTTCAAGCATTTATCGACCTCTTCTCAAATCTAATCTGTAAATAAAACATTGCTCTTCCGATGAATTCAGTGGGCCAATAACATAAACATTAACTTTCCATACCCAAATATTTATTTATTAAGTTGACGGTGTGTTACTTACATTTGTCTGTAGCAGTTTGTTGTCTGCCTGCAGCAGTGAGAGGAAATGTTCCATCCACACCTTCATGTTGTCCTCAAAGTGCTCTGGCAGGTCCTGGCCACAGTAAACAAAAACAATATGTGAGGCATCGAGGTGAAATCAGGCGCTTCTCAAAATAATGAAATCCAAGAAATCAGCATTTTTCAGCCAGTTTTGGTGGGTTTTTCTTCGAATTTTGGGTTTTTGGCTCAACATCTTGCATGTCCATTAATAGGACATGTGGTTACTTGAGGGAAGCATCGCGCTGCCAAGAGCGAAAGGCTCGCAGCTAAAGGAATTTGAAAACAACAACAACATGTTCATTCATAAACACTTTTAAGTGTGGATTTTATGGGAAAACGTTGATTAAAGGCACAACAAATTCAAACTTGCAGTTTCCAAGAACTCATAAGCTATGAAAGTCACCAAACTTTGACGGCCATTTTCTCGCTAATTTAACCTCTGAAACCAGGCAACCCCACCTTCTTTAATCGAAAATATCTCGGCTTCTATTCAAGATAAGTGGATATTTTGTTCATCGAAAACAAGGCAAAAGAACAACCTTTAAGATAATACCAACAGATAATACCAACAGCTCGATATGCCCAAATATTGACGAGCGCCTGATTCTACTGCGTTGTGACACACATCACATTTTTTTAAATGGGAGCTCACTAGGCCTAGCCTAAATCATGAAACCTCTGCCTTTCACACCAAAGTGTCTAATTCAAATCCCAGTACAATACATGCAAGCATGATCAGTGAACAATTTGGGTGAATTTCCTCTGAATTTTCACTCCCCTCATACCAGAATAGACGTTATGTCATTGATTAACTACTCTTCTTGCTTGATTATTGATGAAAAACATGGCTCCTATGAGCATTTTGAGGATGTTACAAAATTTCTTAGCAAATGAAAGCCAAAGAAGTGTGGACCTATACAATACAGCAGCCACATCAAGGAATGTTACTCCTTTCCCAACACTGAAGAAACCTTTGGTCTGAATAAATAAATAGGAGCTACTCTGGAACCGACATATTTGTCACATATGGTAGACCAAAAGACTTAGAACACTGCATTCTAGATGGAAAATTGGGCCCAAAATGTAAATATGAATTGCTTTGTGGGTTAAAAAACCTACGGGAGACCTAGCCAGGAATAGAAAAGAATATGAATCAGACAAAATGAAACTAACTTTTTCATAAACGTAACGAAATATTTCTCAATGCAGTACTGATGTACCTACAGTGCAATATAATATGCACGCAAAAGAGAACAAAACACAAACACTCTGATAACATTCAGCACCAAAGGAGCAAAGCTATTAAAAAGGCCAAAACAGTCATATCAGTTACTACACTGTCTAAATCCCTGTCAAATCAGTAGCAGTTTTCATTATCCACCTGGTAATAAATCAACTCTTAACACAGCACAGTAAACTGTTGGGAGATTTAAACAATTTTTTTTCGGTTAGTGTTTTAAAAAAAAATAGTAGAGGATTTTACTGCGCTCGCAACTGCAAAAGGTCATATGAGCGCCAACGGGTGGGTGTCAACAGAGAAGTCTTTGCAGGGAATCAGACTTACTCTGCTCACCTCTCTAGCTTCAACAGCACAAGGTCTGCTTCAACTATCAAGGGACCCCGGAAATAGCAGGTCACAAGAGAGTGACAAACATACAAAAGAAGTAGAGGAAATGACAATAGTAAGGATAAAGAAAGAAAAAGCAGCAGTTCCCTGTTGTAGATCAGGCACAGTTATGAGTGTGACATGAATCAGCCCATTTACAATTCTACTGTGCTTGAACGAGAAATGTCCCCCCTTTGGGAATGGCCTAAAGACACTACAGTCAGTGGCACTGCCGCGGGGGGATGGTAAGTGTTTTACGGCGCTCGGAACTGCATTAGGTCATATGAGCGTGCGAGAAACATTACACAACATTTTCAGTAAGAAATTTTGAATTTTGCTCGGGTGGCGGCCGAAGCCTGCTCTTATTTATTTTGAACCACCAAGGGATCTTTAACGTGTGCAACTTGCACACTGGACCTCCAAGATTTTTCGCCCTTGTTCGAGAAAGCTAGGTGTGTAGATCTTTCCTACCAGAAGATCAGGGGTGTGGCTGAAAGACAACAGTAAGAAGGAGCCAAGGAGTAGCAGTAAAAAGGCTGCAGAAAGAGTCAGGAGCCTAAAGGAGGGGCAAAGGAAGTGAGGGGGTGGGGGCAGAAAGTGGAGCCGAAAGCAGACGACAGAACATTGCTAGAGAACAGGAAAGGAGGTGAAAGGTGACAATTTTAGAGAAGAAAAATTCTTTGCTATTCGGATACGGACCCTGAACCTATTGAATGAGAGGCAAGCACTTTAACCTCTAGGCCACGAGTGCCCCCCCCCCCCCCCCAACCCCTGAGAGATTTTTACATTGAAAATTTTGTACCTGCATTCACATGATCAAGATTATGTATCATCAACCTTTCTTTTCCCCCGTCATTACCAAAGTCTAATAACCACTATCAAATTATAATGAAATGCATACCTGAAAGTTGAGACTGTAGAAGATCTTGCAGATGAGCAGAATACTACTGAAAATGACTTTCAGTGAATTTGGATCAGTGGCATGCTTTGTGGCCAAATCCATGGTGGCCTGAAAAAGAGGTTGATTGTTATGAGAGGTCTGATTCCTTGTGTCAAGACACAGCCCTTTCTAAACCAACAACAAGACACACCAAATTCACTCAAATCTGAGACAATGATTCTTAAAGCCTAAAACACAGCGTCACTTTTCGCCCAATTTTGTGACTTTTAATTAGCATGACTCAGCAGCCCGCCAGAGCTCCCCGGCTTGGGGTTATGGGGTTAATGAGCCCTGAAGCAACTTTGCCGGTGTCGATTAAGAAGTTCACTTTTTTGCAAACGTTTGAAACAATTTAACTTTTCCCCCATCCCACACAACAAACCATTACACTAATGTACTAAAAGCTCAATGTCTTGAGATTTATTCTGCTTTAGAAGGGTCAATTTTTGTGCCTTAGTTTTTGTTCTAGACAAGTATTCGTAGAGTACCCAATTTGTCCGATTTTAGTTGCATACTTATGAATAAACAATTGGGGTTTTTTAAACGGCACGACAGATCTCTCCAAAATCTATGTTAAACTGACTACGAATATCATGTCTTTTACCATGAGAAATCTTAGTAGTAATAGTCAAGTTATAAGAGAAGAAAGATGCACGTCTGCATTTTTAAACTAAAGACACTCAGCGTTAGCTCTTGTTTTACCATTAAACAAGAGAAAGTTACTCTGCGTTTTTCATGAATCATGCTGAGTCTGCGGCAGCCTGCATACAACTAAGAAAGATATATTATTTATTATGCAATTTTTAAAAATTACAACACAGTGTAAATACATGGGTAGAGATAAACTTCTTGTATGGAATAACAAAAATAAAAATAATGACAGATACACGTTCATTCTTAGTTTTTGTATCAGAAATATGTGCGGACACTTATGAATGTAAAGAAATCAGAACATTGTCAGTTATTGCAAATGGTCATAGAAACGAAAATAAAAGCTGAAAATTCCTAAAAGTCTGGTGCTGATTCAGTGTCACTGGAAAGCTAGAAATTATTCATATAACCCAATTACGAAAAGTGATCCCTGTTATTCAGTCAACTTACAAAAACCTAGATTTAGCGTTTTAAGAAAAGTAAGGAATTTCTGGAGTGTAACAGATACTGTTCCTGTATTCTGGCACTTTATAAACTTTCGAGAAAATATGCTAATTTTCACAAATATACTAGACATATAAAGTTGTATTTGGAGGAATTACTTCACAGTGAATTGTGTGCCAGATGGATAAAGTTGCAAAATTACAGCTTTATATTATATGAGCAGATACCGTCTTTTCTGAGTATCTGAAAAAATGTAATGTCCTTCATGTTCCAAAAGTTAGACAATTTTTGTTGTGTGGTTTTTTTAATAGTGATTTTTTTCATTCACACTTGTCAAAAAAAATTTTCAATTTAGCATTGCCGTCTTTAGCGCGTCAAACAAAATAACCAGACAAGCTACAATGTCTGTTCTTTTCTGAGTCTCAAGTGCAAAAATGCGTGCTTTGGTTGCATTAAATTATAATTACCATAAATACAAGGATACACCTAAAACTTAACGTTGAAAAGTACAAAAAATTAAGTCAGCCCACACAGAACGGCGACAGGGAGCCGACCTCCGTGACCCCGACATGATAAGGCGCGCGGAGGGACCCCCCCACCTGCAACTAAAATTCCATGGCCGCTGTGCAGTGAAAAAAATCCTTTTTCTTAATCACTTTAAAAAAAACAAAAAAAATACAAATTATAAACACTACAAATAGAAGGTGTGGTACTCATCCAATCTCCTACCCCTTTAAGAATTTCTTTGAGGTGAAATTGCTAAGCTCATCTGAGGTAGTAGCACAGGATCAATTTACTTCCACCCCTACTCCACCTGTGCAGCAAAATAAATATACCCACCTCTCCTCTAAAGAAAATCAAGGTAAGACAAAACAAAACAATTTTTTTTCAATAAATAAAAATAAAAATGGTCAAACTTTAACTTCTTTTCTCATATGATGAAAGGACTGAAGAGGCACAAAAGAGGAAACTAATTAAATATCTTAAAACAAAGCATTTACTTTTTAAAGTAGGTTTAGATATTGTTATCTATTTGACATTGTAGAACCAAATATATACCAACCAACAAACAATCCTCATTTGAGTGTGGTACACTAACCTTGAAAAGTTCTGTCAGAGCTGATGCAAAGTTCTCAAGCACAAATTTGATCTCTTCCCAGAGCTCTTGTGACTTGAACTCATGGCGATATCTGAAAAAAAAAAACACCCCACTATCGTCTGCAACCATCACATGGGCATAATACTTGCATTTGACCCAAATCATGAATACATGACAACAAGGGACGTTATGTCTCTCTGTAGTTCATGTAAGGTCCGAGTGAAAAGAGCTATAAAATCTCAGGGATAGATTAGGATTAAAACAATTTTGAAGAGAAGAAAAGGAGAAGCAGCAAATCGCACCCGACCACACCTTATCTACAGATATTATCTCTTCTTGCCTAAACTTCCTGATTTTTATAAAAAATATGTAATGAAAAAACAAACAACAACTAATATATCACAGGTGAAAAATCAATGTCATGAAAGTAAAAGCGAAAAAGAAGTCAGAACATTCAATACATCACTAGTTCCAGATTGATCACAAGGGATCACAAGGGAATATATTTTGTCTGCCCAAAACGAAGGAGTAAAAGTGCATTTTTATATCAATCTCACAAGTCGGAGGCTTCGCTCATCTCTAGAAAAAAACAACCTAAATAGACACAGAATCCAAACTATTAATAATTGAATCTCCTACAAATCTTTTACCAGAAAGTCAGTAACCTATAAAAAGATTTTGCTTTTAAAACAATATTGTACTCTTCCACTCGTGTGGTTTTATCCTGACGGGTTTTTTAATTACATGACCATCACAACAACAAATACTTTGTCAAAGTATGGATAGATGGCACAATGTGACTTAAAAAAAGAAAAAAAAAACAAACAAAGAAAATGCGTACTGCATGTACAATAAACTGGAAAAGAAAAACTATCAAAGCAGTGACACAAAAATTTATAGTTCAGCTTTAGTAGAGTTTTACGGCACTTGCAACACAATAAAGCCATGTAAGTGCCGAAGATTAGCGGAGTCACAAGATAATAACAAACACAAAAAAAAAGGAAGAGGAGAGATCAGGACCATAGATGTATAATAGGAAAAAAGGAGCATACCATTCCAGAGCACCAGCCAACCACCTGCAAAAATGTCAAGCTGAAAAGCAAAGAATTGTTAACAAAGCTAGTTGATACCAAACGTACCTTTTGAAAATGGAGTGTGCTGTCCGAAGCACACCATTGATGACGTTGAAGTCTCCTGTTTCAAATTTACTGATCATCTCTGTCAGCAACCCTGGCCATTTCTTGGGAAAATCTTCCCGACCTATTATGCTGATAGCATCACTCAACTGGAAAAAAAATGTTTTAATTCTTTTAAAAAGTAATTAAAAAAGGAAACAAAGTTTTTAAAAATCAAACCACGGTGCAATGTTCTTAATTATATTTCAATGGCACTTACGAGATGTTGGGATATAAATACAGGTGCAGGGGTCAGAATATCATTTCAAAGTCTTATTCGTTTCAAATCAGTAAGCGAAAAGAGCTTTTACTATCTTCAGCTAAAATCTGCCTTCCTAAACAAAGGTTGTTGTTGTTTTCAAACCCCTTTAGCAGCGACCATTTCACTTTTGGCAGCACAATGCCTCCCTCAAGTAACCACATGTCCTTGTCATCTGGTCAGCGCCAGAGAAAACAAAGGTAATACCACGAAGAAAGCAGCAGACACAATGACAGTACAGAAACAAATGAAGATAGGAAGATGAGCAAAGGAGAAGAAACAGATTGCATTTACTAATATATTTTTAGACATGCACCAAAGAAAGATGTCCCACTTTCTACCTGAAATTAGAAAGCAGGAAAAGTAAAACTACCATTATCTTGTTCACTAAATAAAAGCAGAATGTTCAGGGATTTGTTTTCACATTAACAATGGACTCAATGCATTACTGAGATCTACTTGCTGCTGTTACGAAAACATTTTGAAACAGTTATCCTTTTTCTTGAAATCAAACCTGCCCAATCAAAACAAGATCACGTTTACTTGCAAAATTACAAGACCAAAAAAAGTCAAATAATTCAAGAAAAGATCATACAACTCTCAGAGAAATAACAAACCACAGAGGCTAATTTTTCATGTTTTGTACTTACAAGACCACAAACATTTTTAAAAAATAGTCATACATGTCATGTCTCTCTCCTTACACTACAAAAAGAAAGACACCAACCTGTTTCTGAACTTGCTCAGGGCTTTTGAGCATGAGACCAACAATGTATTGCTTAATAGCATCTCTGTCTTCTTTGTGAATTTTATCAGCAAGCCCATCATCCTAGAGGAGAAAAAGATAGGAAAACAGAGACAATAGTTCATGTAGAATGCAAAACAATGATACAATATGAATTTCTGATGCTTTATGAACCAAATTTGAAAAGGAAAGCAAGGTGGCCTTTTCTTTTTTTTAAACCACACCTTACGCCACATGCTTCTGTAAGAAAGTGTTAAAATGTGAGACATCATGTGGAATCAGGTGCTTATCAAAATAATGAAATCAAAGAAATCTGCATTTTCTGGCCATTGGGCAATTTTTCCAAATTTTCTTTTTTTGGCTCAACACCTTTTATGCCCATTTAAAAACACATTTCTGTATAGATCTTACTGAAAATCATTGATCAAAGGCATAAAAATTGTAAATGTGCCGTTTTCAAAGACATTAAAGCTTTGAAAATCACCAAAATTTGGCAGCCATTTTCTCACTAACTGTATAGCTAATACCAGATGGCTCAACCTCCTTAAATCACAAACATCTCCACTTCTATTCAAGATAGATGGGTATTTTTGTCAACAGAAACTAGACAAATAAACAAGCTAAAATATTTTAAGATTATATATACCAATAACTCCATATGTCCAAAAATTGACAAGTGCCTGATTCCACGGTGTCGTGACACAAGTAGTACAATTTACTATTTTAACTGTGCTAGCTCTTCAAACTTCAATTTGTAATACTTTGATTTCATGACTTCACTTTGGTTTTAGATATTCTAAAGAAATTAATCATAAAACCACTTTACAGTAACTTACTTTCTAAAATAATGGACACCATATAAGAGGAACAGCAATTTGCCAAAAGCCCATTAAATTTTTTACTTTGTCAAAGTACAAAAGAAACATTAAGTGATGTGATAATCGTCATTTAATTTACAAAGAGGATGAAAAATGAAAGAGTAAAGAAGCAGACACACAGAACTTCCAACTATTTCCACCATTTGAATTATTTGATGTTAAATTATTAATAACTAAAAAGAGAATGAATTATTTAGGAAAGACTCCACATATTTCACCTGATTTTGTGAAGATCTCAAAGCTAACCAAGCAACTGATGCTGCTCAAGAAAACAATATTTCTCCAGTCTACTCAGATAACCTGAAACTAAAAACAAGCTAAATAGCTCTAACAGCAATTACTTTCCTTGCAAAAAGAAAGAAAAAAAAGAAACAATGATGAAAAAGAAATACCTGTCTCCAATTTCTTTTCACATAATTTTTGAAAGTGACAGCAGCAGAAATTCTCACATGAGCATCAGCGTCTTGTTTGTCCATCAAATGCAGCAACAGCACTGGGTAATTTCTGTTACATTCTACAGACTCAAGAGACTTTTCAGCTGAAAGTTAAACAATTATTTTTAGATCAATACAATGTCAAAAACATTTTTTTTCTATATTGCAACAAATTAACTAGTAAAACATGAATCTAAATGAGTACAAGGTAAGTAGAATCTTTAAAATTCTTTATAATATCATTCAATAACAAGGAGCCACACAGGTCTTTGAACTGCAATCATGCCAGCAAGTTGTCTTGAAAAAAGGCAGAATACTTGTAAGTATATTATCTAATTTACCTTATAATGGGTCACAAAAAATCCTTACCGAATTTTGTATAGAAGAACAAAAAATCCATCCATAAACAAAGATTAGAAAGGATCTTGTTTGTTGGAAACCACAAATAAGTGACAAGACAAGACATTCTGATTCTGAGTCATTAAGTGAGCTTAAATATTTTTGCATTTTCCCATTGGTTCCGTAAGACAAACTTTATAGCAGAAAATTGTAAATTCCTTTATCATTATCAAGACTCGAGACAACATAGATTTTTCCTTACCATTACGCCTGATATCGACATCAGGTGAAAGTGTCTGCTGCAAGTACCCAGACATGGCACTGAGGTTCTCTGGAGTGATTTCCATGACTGAAATTGGCGCGTTTCCTCCTGTTTAGATCTCTGAAAAATTATAGTGAGTCAAAATTATGTTTACTTTTTTTTAAAGCTGTGTTTGTACGTAAGTCGTTACTTCAAAGCTACTGCATCGAAGGCAAGACAAATTTTAAGACAATTTGGAAAAAGAAACTAGTATTGTAAGTTGAAGAAGGTTTTCTCCTGCTGACTTTTAAACATGTAACGTCAAAAATTAAAAACTTTTTCATTTCAAGCTCTATGCCATGAATACGTAGTACTTTAGCTTTCTTTTCAGCATCATGTACAATTAGAGCAGCATATGTATGAATATTTTGTGAGAAATTTTTATGTTTGATGGTCACTTTGGGATTCCGTGCATATAATATGATGACAGGAAATAGGCCTATAAAGTGAATAATTATGATATGATGAGATGCCTCCCATGCACTTCGATCAGTTCAAACATCTTTTACTCGGCTAGCCTTTACTTTATGATGTCTAGTCTATTCATTTTTGTTGTTGTCCCTTTTGCTTTCATGATGAACAAATAATGATGGGACAATCCGGTTTTGGTCCCAATGACAACTATGGAGAGTGGGTTTTGGCTTCACCGACGATTACTTCTGGTTCTTCACTCTCAACGATTACTTTTCAACACGCTTGCCGATGATGTTTGTTCGCAAAATATCAAATTATGGTTAAATTCAGGGTTTAAATACCGGAAAGGACCCAAGAGGAATCAGGGCTGAGGTTACAAAGGTTGATGCTCAACAGGATCGTGTTGGTGTCCGAATAGAAGACAGATCTAGTCACAGTCAGGGTTGTCGAATTGGAGCCAAATCCCAGACACAGTCAGGGTAGTCAAATTGGAGCCAAATCCCAGAAATTTGGCTCTTTTGAATCGCGTCTGGCCCCGAGAATTTCATTCAACATTTGGCTCTCTGGCTCTTTTTTGGCTCCAAACTCCAAATGTTCAAGAAGAAGGGGACAGAAGAGGCAAAAAAACAAAGAAAAAGAAAGAATAAAAGAAAAAAAAATGAAAGTGAAGAAAAGAGCTTGGATTGCTTAAAATTATTTAAACTAGATCTAGATCCAGTACACGATTTAACGCCCTCGCCCATTTGGTCCTGAATAATTTACAACCCTTCAACCGTCGTGCAAGATCATGTGCTCGTGTCTCGTTACGTTCGTACACTTTCTCTGTTCCTTGAGCCATAATAATGTGTGCAGGCAGAAAGGCTAGCCATCGTAAGTGTGTAAACAACGAATGGTCCGGCCGGAGGCCGGTCCCACATCCCGCTCAGTGGCGTCGGTAGTGAGCCTTTTTTTTTTTACTGGAGAGGCGAAAAACATTATTATTATTTGTTCCTAACCACATGCGGTAGGCCACCAAGGGTCTAGGACCTAAGAGGCCTAGAATCCTAGATCTAGAGATCTAGAGTCTAGGTGATTTTATCGGCCTGCGAGTAGTGCTAGGGCTAGAGGTCAGTGGGGGAGTCCTTGCCTCATGCGGCAATTGTTTACTTTCTCGTGTTTATTAATTCCGGCCGTGCCCAGATCTAGTCTAGATCTAGAATCTTTGCGTTGGAATTAAGAATAACTTGCCTAAGAATAAACCACGGCAATTTCATCATTTGTAACCTGTAGATCTTCTAAACCTAGATCTAAGTCTTGTAACATACTGGCTTTAGTTTAGACCTTCCATACTGATTTTGATGGCCATTGTGCCAATGATATTCATAGAGCAGAGTGGTCCCTCGTTACGGAAGTCCTCCCCGGGAATTAAACGCGAGAAAGTAAAACAATTAGGCCACCTCTATTCTCACCCCGGGTGAGAATAGCGCAGACGAGTCTTTTGGCTATTCTCACCCGGTGGGCGTTCACCGTTATAGCCTTGGCCAACCAGTGAAGCGTTCACCCTGAACCACAGAATTCTACACTGTGATAACAGAATTGCAGAATTCTGTGTGGTGAACAAACGTTCTAGATCTATTACTACTGTTAGTTTTAGCCTAAAAGCGTGCAATTTTGTCTGTGGGCAGTGGAGAGAGAGAAAGAGAGAGAGAGAGGAGTAGCGCGAGAACTTCCGGGCAAAACAAAATGACGACCCACGTAGTTCGGCTCGATTCGGAAAGTTAAATAGCTGTAGCATCTTTGTAGACGACCAAATTCATTTAGTTTTGTGTTTTAACATCATTTTTTTAAAACTTTGTTTTGGTCAATTTGATCGTCCACACCGATAGAAAGTATTCAGAAAGAGACAGAGAGAGAGAGAGAGAGAGAGGGGAGAAGTAGATCTTGCGAGAACTTCCAGGCAAAACAAAATGGCGACCCGCGTAGTTCGGCTCAATTCGAAAAGTGAAATAGCCATAGAATCTTTGAAGACGATCAAATTAGCTTATTTTTGTGCTATGTAATTTTTTCTTGGCTTTTATCAAAATTTCCTTTATCAATTTGATCATCCACACCAATAGACAGTATTCCGAAATGAGGAAAAACAGGTCTTGTTTCGCACCGGGTGAGAATAGCCTACGCTGGCAAGTCTCACCCGGGATGAGAGGTAGATCGTATTTTTATTCTCACCCTGGGTGAGAATAGCCACTTCCAAACAATTACCCCTCATGCCCACGCCGGGGTGTCCGGGGTGGGAGCTATATATCTATTCTCACCGGGGGGGGGGTGAGAATAGCGAGACATGGGTTATTCTCACCTAAAGGTGGCCATATATATCTTTTTCTCAAATAGACTCAACCCCAGGCCCTGGTCCAATAGGGATGGGGCGAGCGGACGGACGGGTTCGTTACTCGCGGACTCAGTCAGAGCGAACGGGTAACGGACGGCGATGAGAGCGAACTGCGAACCTCAAGACAGTTCGTTTTTTTTGGTCCGCTCCACAATTTGACTCTCTCAGCGAGCGGACTGCGGACCTCAAGCCAGTTCGTTTTTTTGGGTCCTCTCCATAATTTTAGTCTCTCAGTGGACGAACTCTAAGCGGCAAGAGCAAGCGGACTGCGAACCTCAAGACAGTTCGTTTTTTGGGTCCGCTCCACAATTTTAATCTCTCTGCGGGCGGGTGAGAGGACGAACTCTAGCAGACAAGCTACTCGAACCGAGGTTAGGCTTTGCGTCTGGGCCTATTGTTTTTTAATTAAAGCTGTTTCAAGCCCCTAGTGGTACCAAAGGGAGTGGGAGGCTGGTGGGCGACGTAACACTGTAAGATGGATGGCGTGCGTATTATGTTTCACTGTGTGAGTGGGTCACACTGTGTGCGTTCTAATTTGATGCTAACGACAGCCTCTAGTTTCCTGAACGGTTTAATCACTAAGTCAGTTGGTAATTTAGAATTGCACAGCCCACAGCTTACTTTTTTTCATCTGATTTTGAACTTGATACTAATACATGTACTGATACTGTTTTGGATTTATTACTATTACCCAAAATGCCGCAAAGTATTTGTTGGAAATTTATGTCCTTGTTGGCGGACAAAAGCACTGTTGAATGTAAAATGTGTAAGCAAAACTTTACTTATTGTCAACGTTCAACATCGAACTTGGTTCGTCATGTCAAAACAAAGCATCCGATTGAATTTGAAACAGAAGAGGAAAGCAATAAAAGGAAGCTACAAGTGTCGAGACGAGAGGAGAGCACCCTGGCAATCACTGACTCAACAGCTACAACATCTACAGCACCCCAAGTGCAACCAACCCTGCAACAAACGGTGGAACGGACTGCAAAGTACAAACCAGATTCAGTGAGAAAACGGCAACTGGATGAACATATACTGGATCTCATACTTCTAGACATGCAACCGCTCTCTGTTGTAGAACAGAAAGGGTTCAGGAAACTGATCAACGCACTGGATCCTAAGTATGAAATCATTTCGAGGAAAAGACTGACAAGTCAGCTACTGCCGAGTCGCTACCAGGAAGAAAAAGACAAACTGATATGTGAGCTCAAAGCAGTCAACGATGTGGCTGTAACATCAGACTGTTGGACTTCACGGTCCAACGAAGCCTATACTACAATTACTGCTCACTACATCACTTCGCAATGGGAGCTGAAATCATCAGTTCTTCTCACAAGATCTGAAGGAAAGAGGCATACGGTAGAGAACTTGGCTGCAGAGCTGCGAGATGCCTTCCAAGAAGTTGGAATAGAGCGCAAAGTTTCTACTGTAGTGACAGACAACGCCAGAAACATCGTGAACGCTGTTGAAGTGCTGATGATTAGACATCATGCCTGCTTTGCCCACACGCTCAATCTCATGGTGAGAAGTTCCATCAGTGAAGTGGAGGAGATCAAGAGCCTCGTCAAAAAAATCAAGAGCATTGTCACATACTTTCATTCCAGCACTGGGGCCACCAACTCTCTGAGAGAAGTGCACGAGAGGAGAGGAAGCAAAATGAAAAAGCTGAAGCAAGACGAAGAGACCCGGTGGAATAGTACTTTTGACATGATCAGGAGCTATGTAGACCAGCATGAGGAAGTCACTACAGTACTGTGCTTGGCTGGGAAGAGCAGTCTGTGCCTTGACGCCGCTGATATACCTGCTGCCAAAGACGCAATGAGCTTTCTGGAACCATTCTATGAGGCTACCACAGAGTTGTCAGCAGAGAAGAACACATCAGCCTCAAAGATAATTCCACTGGTGAAAATTTTGTCGAAAATTACAGCAAAGAACACCTCATCACTGTCCAAAAAGCTACACGAATTACTGCACATAAGATTTGGGGATGTAGAGGACAGAACCCATCTAAAGCTGTCAACACTTCTTGACCCAAGGTTCAGGCAGTCAGGATTTTTATCTACGGAACGTGCAGCTAAGGCAGTGGAAGAGCTGAAAGGAGCAGTGGAGTCGGTCGTACTTCCGTGTGACCATTCCAAGCAGGCAGAGGAATTGAGCACAGCACCCCCGGCACCAAAGAAACCTAGTCTGCTCTGGTCTGACTTTGATGAAGAGATAGAAACATCTCAAAGAACAGCAGCTACAACACTGACAGCTGCTGAGATGGAAGTCAAGCAGTACCTGGAGAGTCAAGGACTTGCAAGAGATAAGGACCCTCTGATTTGGTGGAGAGAACATGCAAAAGTCTTGCCGAGACTACAAGTAATCGCCAAAGATGTACTGGCCATTCCTGCAACATCTGTTCCAAGTGAACGAATATTTTCAAAGGCTGGGGAACTCATCTCTCTTCGTAGATCAAACCTCAAAAAGAAAAATGTCGATATGATTATTTTCCTGAATAAGATCAATGGCTGAAATTCATGATGGCACTGTTTTGCATGCCCCATCATTACTATTTTCAAACATTCGAGATGTAAGCGTCAATACTGATATAACTCATTGAATGTATCCAGTCATACTGTACCTTCATACTTGTCTTAGTCTATTTAAGATTATATAACAACCTTCTGTACGCTTGTAATTTGATAAAACTTCTGGAGACAGTAATGTACAGATTATTTTATTAGATAGCATTTTTTTTTCAAGATGCAATGTACATGTGTGTTATAATTCATATATCATATTTTTTTAAATTCACGCAAAACTATTTGGCCTTCAAAATAGGCTACTTAAATAAAAGACAGTTACATAATAAACTGTCTCTTCATTGAAATAAATCAGCTCCAAAAAACACACAACCCCCCCCC